GATACTTTGAATATTACATGTTAATAACTTGATTGGAATTATAACCTTGAATTGACAGTTTGATACTTTGAAAATTTTGAGCCAGCCCTACCCCCAAGGGCTGTAGGTGCTAGTTTCAAATCCCTTTTAGTCTGAAATCTGTATGCTAGATATTGAGTAAGGTGGTTTTATTGTTTTTTGTCACTTTGAATAATATTTCTGTTCATGTTAAAAACAAAATCAACTCTCTGTATAAATATATCAGGTGACCGTTAAGGCCCATGGGCCTCTTGTTTTAGTTCAGATTTGATTGTTATTTTGATATGAATGGATTCAAACATATAGCTAAGATCAATAAGGTGACTGCTTCTGGGGGAAAAATGCAATTGACATTCCTTTGAATAATGTTGATTTTCCATGTGATGAAAAAGCATATTAATTTTGAAAAAGATCAACTCGATCACTTGCATTCAGATTATATGTTGTAAGTGTCTATAATAACTACAAAAATCCTACTTTTTGACTTCTGACTTCTGGGAGCTCAGAGTTATTAAAGTATAAAGTATAAATTCCGCATTCATTTGGTAAGTGTTATTTATATATCTTTAAAGAATACACATTTTCTTGATAAGGTTGTGTGAAACATGTTTTGATATGAGGAGATTCAGATTGTGTGATCAATATATATACATTGCATTTACTTAGATAATTCAATAGTTAATATCCCATAAAATATCTGGGTTTTGAATGTGCAAAGTATATCAGAGATACATATAATCAGCTTAACCCTTTCACCCCTATCTAACTTTAGTAGACTCTACCATGCATTGATCTGGATGAGTCCATTATGGTCTACAGTGGTGAAAGAGTTAAAAATAATTTAAGAAAGCAAACGTTTTTCATAAATTATTATTGACAGGACCCTCCTCCCGATCCCTTGGATTATCTGGTGAAAGTGCCGGAGGACTCCCTTTTCCAGGATGTGTCGATGAACGATAGTATCAGGAGCATTCAGACATCCGACCTCGACTTCAGTCAGGCAGCGCCACCTAGTGGTCGAAACTCACCAGAGAAAAGGTTCCTGTCCCTCCCCAGCTCTGCTAGCTGTAGTCCTGTACCTGTGAATGTATTACTACCTCTGCCTACCTTATTCTCAAACAGTCAGGTAAAATTAGGTGAGTCTGATCCCCTTCAACCCTCTCTATCCTCCCACCCAATTCTAACTATTGGATGATCATTGCCTAAATGTTCTATTTGTAGAGTCATGTCAGTGGTTGATCTTTTAATGTGGGATTAAACTTTAGATACAATATTGAAGTATTGCCTGAGATGAACAACCTTCACAGCTATTTCTGGAATTAAAAAAAGGCTAAGTTTGTTTTGAATTCCGAATAGTTTCTGGAATCAAAATTAGATCTCCTTTCCCAATGTTCCTGTGTCAAATCAGACTCCCTGCTCAATATCAATAGGCTGTTTCCACAGTCATGAAAATGGTTGAAGTATTTGTTAAAGACTACTAAGATACTCTGTATAGAAATTATGCTTCAAATGAAGAAAAAAATGTCTGTGTGTATTTAAAATAAATCAGATGATTGCAGTATTTGAAGACGACTGATTTTGTTTAATGAATGGTTCCTATTGTTTTGTTGAAGTGAGTGACAGAGTGACAAGAAGCAGTAGAAAGGAAGTGCTGTCTTCTGTTAGTGAAGACGTCTTTATTCCAAATCAGCCAGTTCAAGCCAGTAACCACAACAAGCGCAAGTTCAGTGAGATCGTAGGAGTGGAAGACGCTCTCCAGGAACTTAAAAAACTCAAAGTAATACAGGTGTTTAAAATAATAATGTGATTTTAACCAAAATAGCAAAAATTTAATTGTAATAGGAAAAGATCTCCCTCTGAATGTGGTGGCTGAGTGGTTAAGGCATCTGACTGTCTATAATCACTAGCCCTCCACCACTGGGTCACAGGGTTTAGGCCAATGTGGGGCAGTTGCCAGGTGCTTGTCGCAGGTCAATAATTCTTTCTTTGGGTACTAAGGCTTTCCTCCACCACCAAAACCACGTACATCCTTAAATGACCATAGTTGTTTAAAGGGCGTAAAACACAAACAAGTCCCTCTTAACGCATCTCCTAAAGGGTCGATCACAGAACACATGTACTGGGAGGGAGATTTCAGTCTGAACACATCAATCTCTGAACGCATCTCCTTGAAGGGAGGGGAGGTCTTCCTCCAAATGTCATATCTTCAAATAAGTTATGCAATAATTTTTGAAAACGAGGCTGTTGATATCTGGATTGACTGGATGTGATTTAATCACTAGCACCTCCTCTCTGTTTTAGACTTGTATATTTAATATGTGCCTGTCATAAAATGGGGGTCATAGTAAATCATCAACTGATTCATTGTCCTCACACTAGCTACTTCATTTCTTAACAGATTTTATATCAAAGTTTATACAGATTTCAGGTATGAGACTGAAACTAATTTCACATGAGACATGGGGCATTCATGTCTGACAGACATTTTCTAGTTTAAATCTAAATGCACGGGTATTATCATGTACACACAAGAAATATTTTGGTTGGTGGTACATATATCAATATAATGACACCTTTATCACGTTAAATTGCTCATAATGCATTGGTATGTACATCAACTCATGATTAGAAAAAAAAATATGACAGAGTGCAAATTTTAATATAAAATGCTGCATATTGAATATATTGATACAATGAAGGCCTGAATTTAAATAGACATTACATACTGACATTAATTATTGTTTAATGAATTTCGATAAAATATTTATTGTTCAATTTCAACTTAATTCTCGATGTCATGTTGTCAATAATATCTGCCATGCACTGTAAAAAATAAGTTTCCTAGGTACCAGATGTAATGAATAATGAGTTTGATGTTCACAGATTCTGTGTGTGAACTGTAATGGCCAATGGAAGAATATTCCTAAAAAAGAAATACATTTTGATATATAGCGATACACTCTAGTACATTTACATGTTTCGTAAGTCTAGGAATTTTAGAAATCCCCAAGACAAATTGAAACATAAATATGCAATGTTTTTATTTTGTTTTCTCAAACTTAAAGTCTTAAGTAGCATGAATTGTTATTGTATTTGTATGAAAATGCCTGAAATCCGGATGAAATTGATATAGGGCGACATTGAGATGCTTTGCATATCTGAGGAGATAACATATTGATTTTTGTCCCCTGTTTGTGTGTTCTAATAGGTGTCCATGAGAAGGTTTCTTTGGAAGCCTGTCATTTGTGTGTTGTCAAATAGTGAAGAAATTGACCAGCAGCAGGTAAACATCAGCTCAAATTGTCTTTTGTTTACATTAACTCCAAAAAAAGTGCCTTACATCAAAAATCATTAATCAAGTTTCTTTAACAGTTTTTAGTTTTTGAAAAATCATGAAGTTAAATGTTTTGTTTTTCAATAGCAAACATTAATTGTAACTTCCTTTGTTTTGTCAATTCTTGTAATTTTTGGCAAATCCCTTAACCCTTTCACCCCTATGTAACTTAAATAAACTCTACCATAAATTGATCTGGATGAGTCCATTGTGGTCTACAGTGTTGAAAGGGTTAATCCGTTTTCACAAATAATACTTTTTTGTAAAATTTATTTGAAAACGACTTATTTGGCTGGCAATAAAATTCATTGTCTTTTCCAAATCATTAGACTGTGACCAGACTAAATTATGACCTACATGTAAGCAAACTATGATTTGCAATGGCTTGGTAATACAATCATTTAATGCAGTAAAGTAAAATTAAAATTGTGTTATATCCCCCTGTACTTCTATACCATTACCAGAACTAATAGTGAAAATTATTTTCAAAAATGTGCAATTTTTGTATGGATTCATTTAAAACAAAAATGGAATCTTACACAAAACATTATAGTCTTATTCAGATTCAAAAGAAATTAGTAATACATGCCTTATGGGCCTCTTGTTATGAAAACAGATTTGTTTAATTCCTCCAGATGCAAAATGTGTTGACTCTTGCAGTTCAAGTGTGTCCCGATGGAGTTTACAGATAGTATGACCAATATCATTCACTCCTGTCTGGAGGAGGAGTCTTCCAGCTCAGACTTCCTGTCACACGCCCTTGACCTCATCACCTCCATGATTGCGTCGAGGAAATACCCCAAAACCGACACTATCCAGTTTATGATGGTCAAACTCCTACAGGTATCTAGAAACTATTTAATCAAGCAGTTTGCAATAAGCCGTCCATCCAACAGTGCTGCTCCAGTCAACATATCTGTCAATTCCTGTTTAGTTGAAGCTTAAAGCTTATATCGTTATACAAATTTGTCTTTGAATTTATTATAAATACATTAAATGATAAATTCAGTTCAAATTGGTCCTTTTAAAATATTCTAAAATACCAACCAGATCTTGGTGAAGAGATTGAAAATGAAATTTTGCTTTGACATTTTAAACTATTGCTTCAATATCACATTTTGGTACTTCTACAAACGATTAGATTTCATCAGTGCTTGGTTGACTGATCCGTACTGGTAGAATAATTGATTCTGATCAGGATTTGTTGTCCTGTGTTGAAGACAAAAAAAACCCACCAAAATAACCAGATTCATTCTGTGAAGTCTGCATTATTTTACACTGGATAATTGATGTTCTGTTAACCTGAGCTATGTTATCACTAATTTACCCCGGACCATACTGTGATGTGATTATCTTGATGATACCATCAACAGTAATGGCATGGGAATTAATCATTCTATACAGAGTTCAATTAAATATGTGACATTTCTTGTGCACTTGCCTGCAAATTTTAAGGAACATATTAAAGGGGCTGGTTGGGGAAAAAAATACAAAATAAATGGGTCTAAATGCGTTCTCTGGCCTTCCAAAAGTTATACCACGGTAATATGATGGTCGAGTTCTGCTTGCAATGTCCAGTTTTGACCACTGAAATCTCGGGGAAGCCCCGCATAAATTTAGCGCAGATCTATTTATATATGTCACGTGGTTGTTTCGAAAGTGAGGCAGTGAAGATAACAACAATAGCACGCCATCATGTGCCATGTCGGACTCAACTAGTGGACAAGACAGCAATACTATATGTAAATAATTGTTTTCAAAGGTCATGTATGATGCAAGTGTAGTTTTCCTACCTATATGTTGTTGTTATATATAACAGTATTGATACCTCGTGCCTGTCATGACTTTTCCATGCATCTTTTTCTTTCGCTGTGATGTTTACATTTGGCCTTGTTGATGACGCGCGTGCGGTAAAATTACATCACTGATCTGGGTCAATTGAGAGTTTCAGACTGTCAGGTGACGATTTAGGATTTCTTTAATATAATTATAATTTTTACTCTTAGGGAGTGAATTTCAGCAAAATTTGTATCGGTATATTTCTTAAGAAGGTATTTTAAACATGTGCAAATATGACATTTTTTCCCCGACCAGCCCCTTTAAAACAATGTTTTGGGATAAATCAATTATACAGAGTTCTGTTAAATCTGTGACATTTTTGTGCACTTGTCTGCAGACTTTAAGGAATAAAATAAAACAATGTTTGTGAGATAAATCAATACTTCCATACATGTTTAATACTTCAGTAAAGAGAGGACAGAGTGGGAAGAGGCAGCTAAAGTTAACAGGACATAATATAATCATTGTAGATAGCTATCCTTTTAGCATTCCAGAAATCACAGTTTAATGCATGTATACAGCTTCCTTTTCGATGTTACAGATAAAATTGAGTCTGGCTGTCAAATCTTTGTATCCTTTAAATTGTTAGTTTGTAGAATAGTTACAGTAATAATTTGACCCTCAAATTTTATATCCATCCAATTTTATCTTTGTAGAATATGTACAGTAAGATTCCGACCCTCAAATCTTATATCCATCCAATTTTATCTTTGTAGAACATGTACAGTAAGAACTTGACCCGTAAATCTTTGTATCTAATGTTTGTAGAATGCTGCCAGCGAGAATCTGGCCATCAAGTCATACACAGCTCTGATGAGGCTGCTACAAGTGCATCCTCCGACCATCCCACTGTTCACCAAACTGTACATGAAGACATTGGCCTTCGCCACGAAGGAGACGGAGGATTCAAATCAGCCATGGAACTTTATCCAAAGCGTTATTCAGTAGGTCACAATATCTCTAACAAAAACAGTGCTTACCAGTTTTCTTACTAAGTTTTGACTTAAAAAGAATCCATCCAATTTTATCTTTGTAGAATATGTACAGTAAGATTCCGACCCTCAAATCTTATATCCAGCCAATTTTATCTTTGTAGAATATGTACAGTAAGAATTCGACCCTCAAATCTTATATCCATCCAATTTTATCTTTGTAGAATCTGTACAGGAAGAATTTGACCCTCAAATTTTATATCCATCCAGTTTTATCTTTGTAGAATATGTACAGTAAGAATTTGGTCCTCAAATTTTATATCCATCCAATTTTATCATTGTAGAATATGTACAGTCAGAATTTGGCCCTCAAATTTTATATCCATCCAATTTTATTTTTGTAGAATATGTATTGTAAGAATTTGACCCTCAAATTTTATATCCATCCAGTTTTATCTTTGTAGAATATGTACAGTAAGAACTTGACCCGTAAATCTTTGTATCTAATGTTTGTAGAATGCTGCCAGCGAGAATCTGGCCATCAAGTCATACACAGCTCTGATGAGGCTGCTACAAGTGCATCCTCCGACCATCCCACTGTTCACCAAACTGTACATGAAGACATTGGCCTTCGCCACGAAGGAGACGGAGGATTCAAATCAGCCATGGAACTTTATCCAAAGCGTTATTCAGTAGGTCACAATATCTCTAACAAAAACAGTGCTTACCAGTTTTCTTACTAAGTTTTGACTTAAAAAGAATCCATCCAATTTTATCTTTGTAGAATATGGACAGTAATAATTTGACCCTCAAATTTTATATCCATCCAATTGTATCTTTGTAGAATATGTACAGTAAGATTCCGACCCTCAAATCTTATATCCAGCCAATTTTATCTTTGTAGAATATGTACAGTAAGAATTTGGCCCTCAAATTTTATATCCATCCAATTTTATCATTGTAGAATTTGTACAGTAAGAATTTGGCCCTCAAATTTTATATCCATCCAATTTTATCTTTGTAGAATATGGACAGTAATAATTTGACCCTCAAATTTTATATCCATCCAATTTTATTTTTGTAGAATATGTACAGTAAGAATTTGGCCCTCAAATTTTATATCAATCCAATTTTATTTTTGTAGAATATGTACAGTAAGAATTTGGTCCTCAAATTTTATATCCATCCAATTTTATCTTTGTAGAATATGTACAGTAATAATTTGACCCTCAAATTTTATATCCTTCCATTTTTATCTTTGTAGAATATGTACAGTAAGAATTTGGTCCTCAAATTTTATATCCATCCAATTTTATCATTGTAGAATATGTACAGTCAGAATTTGGCCCTCAAATTTTATATCCATCCAATTTTATCATTGTAGAATATGTACAGTCAGAATTTGGCCCTCAAATTTTATATCCATCCAATTTTATCTTTGTAGAATATGTACAGTAAGAACTTGACCCGTAAATCTTTGTATCTAATGTTTGTAGAATGCTGCCAGCGAGAATCTGGCCATCAAGTCATACACAGCTCTGATGAGGCTGCTACAAGTGCATCCTCCGACCATCCCACTGTTCACCAAACTGTACATGAAGACATTGGCCTTCGCCACGAAGGAGACGGAGGATTCAAATCAGCCATGGAACTTTATCCAAAGCGTTATTCAGTAGGTCACAATATCTCTAACAAAAACAGTACTTACCAGTTTTCTTACTAAGTTTTGACTTAAAAAGAATATTTGGTTGAATGTTCACATGCATATAGTATTGACCTAGGCTTCATTCTCTGTACCGGTTGAAACAGTTTAGGTGGCGCAGAAATATTCAACTATAAACGAACACACTTAGACTTGGCAGAGCTGAAAATGCACAGTTTCTGAGAATAAATAACAATATATCAAGAGTGATATGTCCTTCTTTCACACGTCCACTTAATTATATAACATATCTTAAAATCTACGTGTAGTTTGACCTTGTTTTATAAAGAAATAACACAAACTAGCAATAGCCAGCATATTAGTTTTGGTCAGGCACATCTGGACCCCTCAAATCTACTCGTACCGAATATCATTGAGGTCAGCACGAGTTCAGATCTGCACCTGCCGTTATCTTTCTAGGTTCAACCGTATGCGAAAGAGCTCTTAAATGTATTCTTGAAAAAATAGCTGGTTCAAATTTTTTGAATAACACTCCTTTTGCTGGTAACCAGCTTTTGATTAGAACACTGCTTACGATGTCCTCAGTTGGACATAATGGTCGTGTAACGTGCCCATTGTTTATGCTGATCTGTGTTACGAATTACGATAAGAAAAATTCTCGGAATTCTGCTGATTTAAACAAATGAAACATGATGATGAAGACTTGTGAGTCCCTTGAGCTCTCTCAAATAGGGTGACTTTCCATGCATGTTTATCTATACACTGGTGTGAGTACGGTAGTTGAATAAAAATAGCTTACCGTATGATAATACTTTGTCTCTTGCTCTGTCTCTTGCTCTGTGTCAGACTCAGAACCTAGGTTCAAATTAGAGAAAACATTCGGTAATACATTATTCAACAGGGATAGATAATAAGGGTAGCCTGATAGTGTTAGACTAGTAAATTCTTCAGATAGACAAGTGGTTCTAAAACCCGCTAGCCTGAATGACTTGTCAAAATTTAATATTGCTCATCTTGTTAATGATATCGGGCTAGTGGAATTTAAACATGGACTAGTACATATTTGAAAGTACTACCCCAGTTGACTAATTGTATTCAAAATCAATTTCTACCCCTGTGTTGAAAGAAAATTATTCCTATTTCTGTGATTTTTTCACAGGAAGATTGTAGAAACACCTGAAGACGATCCCAAGAGTCCTGAATTTAAGTACAATGTGATGCTGTTGAAGTTCCTGGTGGCTTTGCTTGAGCAAAATTTCAAATTCTGTCTGCAGAGGTACAAGTTTTATGTTATTAACATCATGTTAACTAGTCTTCAAATGATCTTATGTGTGAAAAATAAATGTTTGTACATATTTTATTTGATGATGTCGATAAAAGTTGTTCCTTCAAACGCCTAATGTTTGTTTCATACTCTAAACTAACGTGAGTGTATTTTAACACATTGATAAAAACTGAGCCCAAAAAGATTTTGATATAATCGATTACAGATCATTTAGCTATACTGTCATTCACCTATTACAGATATGCAGAGAATGAAATATGTCCGAAGAGGTTGTCGACTTGTATGATCTCTCAGGTGCTGTGGCCAGGCACATCCCAATTCAGTGTCAACAACAAGTGTCGTGAACTCTTGTCTTTCCTTAGCAGCTGTCTGTCGAGTGAGTTAGATCTGATACAAAAGGTGGGTGATTTAGATTTCTATTGAGTGAATTCAGCATGATCCAGAAGGTGGATGTGCCTTTGTGCTGCTGATAATCTATTAAGTAATTCCTATAATAGTGTTCCGTGAAAAGTGTGAAATTTAACAACATCTCATTTTGTCTAACAATTCTTCAATTTCAGAAACAAGTTTCATTGTCCAGCATTTTATTAGCTCACCAGCAGGGATCAAATGTCGTAAAATCTTCAAACAACTTCTTCTCAATAACCAAAAGGCCAAGGGTACTGAAATTGGGTCTGTAGCATGCTGGGATGAAGGGCTATCAAGTTTGTTCAAATGAATGACCTTGAACCACTTTCAACCTAATGTCCTTGTTCTACATTCGGGGTCACAGGCGTCATATGTTTAAATCTTTTAATAGGTTCTTATGAATCAAACACTGATATTCTGCCTGTAGCTGTTATTTAGTCCACTATTAAGATTACAAGTGTGAGATTGATACCAGGTGAGCGATGCAGGCCCATTGGGCCTCTTGTTTCAGTTCTAAGGTCAAAAGTTTCATCCTAGGACTAACTGTATTTTCCCTACATTGCTCAAACTTCATACTTTTGTTGCTTGAAACAGATGTAGTTATTGCATTTTAAGACTGAAGGTTTAGATCAACTTTGATTGAAAAAGAAAAGAAATGTGAAATGGTTTATAAACTGATTTCAGCTCTATAGAGAAAGAACTCTTTAAACTCTTTATATGAAAAACGCTCTATGTTTAGAAGATTAATATAAGAAGTAAAAGAAAATAAATATGAATGACTGCAATGCCAAATATCTACCTTTATTTAATCAATTATGTGGGTTAAACATAAATATATTGATAAAGCTAGCAAAGGTTGGTCACTTTATTGAACTGTACATGAGAAGTGAATAGTTCTTGTCTTTAACATGAGTATTAATGCCACTGGGTGTAATTTCACAAACTGTATTCTTTCCATGCCATACAGATTATTTGACTTACAGTGTACGTCCTTAAATGACCTTAGCTGTTAATAGGATGTTAAACAAAACTAAACCAAACCAAACCAAACTGGATTAGTGATTAGATAAGTAAGGACTTTTAGAATACAACCTCATCAGTTGGCTGTTTGAATTCCAAGGAAATCAAAATAAATCTGTGGGAAAACCGAAATATAATTGTTGTATTAAATATAATTGTGCCATTATTCTATTTCAAGACACAGGTATTGCCGTTGCTACTGAGCCTGATTTCGATGGCTGCTGAATGCTGTAGATTGACAGAAAAAATAGCCAGTCACGTTGTCCGCAGCCTTCTTACGTCAAAAGAGGAGAGAACTATTGTTTTTATACACGAGTTATCACGAAATATTGATGGTATGGACATTTATGCAATAGATAATAAAATGTATACATATTAAATACTTACTGAAGAACATCATTTCTTCAGGGTAATACATATACAGATAATCTAATGCAGAAACTTCTTGTTATTAATCTGTACCCGCTATTATTCATGGTTTCTGTGAAAACGTTCGGATTTCAATTTTCTATTTGTAACTTAATCCCATTTTAAGTAATCCACAAGTCTAAAAGAAATTAATCACAACCCTTTTTAAAGCCATTATTGGGTATGATGGTATCTTTTGTAGGATGTCTTGTCAAGGTCACAGAAATAAAAAAATAAAAATAAAAATAAAAATATTTTTCAATCATTTGAAGACAATGCAGTGAAGATAAAGCAGAATAAACAAAAAACTTATGAAGTTGTATTTCAATTTTTTTCATGGATTTTTTAGCAGGTATTTTGGAATGTAAAAGAAAATATATATGCCTATCAAAACTTTCTTGCTGTCTCTATAGTGAGCCACACAGATGAACAGTTGTTGGGGCTGATTCTCCGCTCCCTACAGCCAGCCTGGCTATGTCTGGGTGTGTGCCTGCTGTTACTGAACAACATGGACGACTACCTGGTACTGGAGGGGGTACCGAGGGACAGCATGGAGAGGATATCTCTACACACTATAGTATGTATATAATGTTACTGGGGGGGGGTACCGAGGGACAGCATGGAGAGGATATCTCTACTCACTATAGTATGTATATAATGTTACTGGAGGGGGGTACTGAGGGACAGCATGGGGAGGATATCTCTACACACTATAGTATGTATATAATGATACTGGAGGGTGTACCGAGGGACAGCATGGAGAGGGTTTCTCTACACACTATAGTATGTATATAATGATACTGGAGGGTGTACCGAGGGACAGCATGGAGAGGGAATCTCTACACACTATAGTATGTATATAATGATACTGGAGGGTGTACCGAGGGACAGCATGGAGAGGGTTTCTCTACACACTATAGTATGTATATAATGATACTGGAGGGTGTACCGAGGGACAGCATGGAGAGGGTTTCTCTACACACTATAGTATGTATATAATGATACTGGAGGGTGTACCGAGGGACAGCATGGAGAGGGTTTCTCTACACACTATAGTATGTATATAATGATACTGGAGGGTGTACCGAGGGACAGCATGGAGAGGGTTTCTCTACACACTATAGTATGTATATAATGATACTGGAGGGTGTACCGAGGGACAGCATGGAGAGGGAATCTCTACACACTATAGTATGTATATAATGATACTGGAGGGTGTACCGAGGGACAGCATGGAAACGGTATCTCTACACACTATAGTATGTATATAATGTTACTGGAGGGGGTACGGAGGGACAGCATGGAGAGGATATCTCTACGCACTATAGTATGTATATAATGTTACTAGAGGGGGTACCGAGGGACAGCATGGAGAGGCTATCTCTACACACTATAGTATGTATATAATGATACTGGAGGGTGTACCGAGGGACAGCATGGAGAGGGGATCTCTACACACTATAGTATGTATATAATGATACTGGAGGGTGTACCGAGGGACAGCATGGAGAGGGTTTCTCTACACACTATAGTATGTATATAATGATACTGGAGGGTGTACCGAGGGACAGCATGGAGAGGGTTTCTCTACACACTATAGTATGTATATAATGTTACTAGAGGGGGTACCGAGGGACAGCATGGAGAGGCTATCTCTACACACTGTAGTATGTATATAATGTTACTGGAGGGGTACTGAGGGACAGCATGGAGAGGATATCTCTACACACTATAGTATGTATATAATGATACTGGAGGGTGTACCGAGGGACAGCATGGAGCGGATATCTCTACACACTATAGTATGTATATTATGTTACTAGGGGGGTACCGAGGGACAGCGTGGAGAGGATATCTCTACACACTATAGTATGTATATGGTACTGAGGGCCAGCATAGAGAGGATATCTCTACACACTATAGTATGTATAATATGTTACTGGAGGGGGTACCAAAGGACAGCTTGGAGAGTATATCTCTACACACTATAGTATGTATAATATGTTACTGGAGGGGGTACCAAAGGACAGCTTGGAGAGGATATCTCTACACACTATAGTATGTATATAATGTTACTAAAGGGGGTTCCGAGGGACAGCATGGAGAGGATATCTCTACACACTATAGTATGTATAATATGTTACTGGAGGGGGGACCGAGGGACAGCATGGAGAGGGTATCTCTACACACTATAGTATGTATATAATGGTACTAGAGGGGGTACCGGGGGACAGCATGGAGAGGATATCTCTACACACTATTGTATGTATATAATGTTACTGGAGGGGGTACCGAGGGACAGCCTGGAGAGGATATCTCTACACACTTTAGTATGTATATAATGTTACTGGAGGGGCACTGAGGGCCAGCATAGAGAGGATATCTCTACACACTATAGGATATCTCTACACACTATAGTATGTATATAATGATACTGTAGGGGGTACCTAGGGACAGCATGGAGAGGATATCTCTACACACTATTGTATGTATATAATGTTACTGGAGGGGGTACCGAGGGACAGCGTGGAGACTCTACACACTATAGTATGTATATAATGTTACTAACGGGGGTTCCGAGGGACAGCATGGAGAGGATATCTCTACACGCTATAGTATGTATGTATGAATATAATGTTACTGGAGGGGGTACCGAGGGACAGCGTGGAGACTCTACACACTATAGTATGTATATAATGTTACTAGAGGGGGTACCGAGGGACAGCATGGAGAGGATATCTCTAAACACTATAGTATGTATATAATGTTACTGGAGGTGGTACCGAGGGACAGCATGGAGGGGATATCTCTACACACTATAGTATGTATATAATGATACTGTAGGGGGTACCTAGGGACAGCATGGAGAGGATATCTCTACACACTATTGTATGTATATAATGTTACTGGAGGGGGTACCGAGGGACAGCCTGGAGAGGATATCTCTACACACTTTAGTATGTATATAATGTTACTGGAGGGGCACTGAGGGCCAGCATAGAGAGGATATCTCTACACACTATAGTATGTATATGGTACTGAGGGCCAGCATAGAGAGGATATCTCTACACACTATAGGATATCTCTACACACTATAGTATGTATATAATGTTACTTATAGTATGTATATAATGTTACTGGAGGGGTACTGAGGGCCAGCATAGAGAGGATATCTCTACACACTATAGTATGTATGTATGAATATAATGTTACTGGAGGGGGTACCGAGGGACAGCCTGGAGAGGATATCTCTACACACTTTAGTATGTATATAATGTTACTGGAGGGGCACTGAGGGCCAGCATAGAGAGGATATCTCTACACACTATAGTATGTATAATATGTTACTGGAGGGGGGACCGAGGGACAGCATGGAGAGGATATCTCTGCACACTATAGTATGTATATAATGTTACTGGAGGTGGTACCGAGGGACAGCATGGAGAGGATATCTCTAGTCACTATAGTATGTATATAATGTTACTGGAGGGGGCACTGAGGGACAGCATGGAGAGGATATCTCTACACGCTATAGTATGTATGTATGAATATAATGTTACTGGAGGGGGTACCGAGGGACAGCCTGGAGAGGATATCTCTACACACTATAGTATGTATGTATGAATATAATGTTACTGGAGGGGGTACCGAGGGACAGCCTGGAGAGGATATCTCTACACACTTTAGTATGTATATAATGTTACTGGAGGGGCACTGAGGGCCAGCATAGAGAGGATATCTCTACACACTATAGTATGTATAATATGTTACTGGAGGGGGGACCGAGGGACAGCATGGAGAGGGTATCTCTACACACTATAGTATGTATATAATGGTACTAGAGGGGGTACCGGGGGACAGCATGGAGAGGATATCTCTACACACTATTGTATGTATATAATGTTACTGGTGGGGGTACAGAGGGACAGCATGGAGAGGATATCTCTACACCCTATTGTATGGGAGGGGGTACCGAGGGACAGCATGGAGAGGATATCTCTACACACTATTGTATGTATATAATGTTACTGGAGGGGGTACAGAGGGACAGCATGGAGAGGATATCTCTACCCACTATAATATGTATATAATGTTACTGGAGGGGGTACTGAGGGACAGCATGGAGAGGCTATCTCTACACACTATAGTATGTATATAATGTTACTGGAGGGGGTACCGAGGGACAGCGTGGAGAGGATATCTCTACACACTATAGTATGTATATAATGTTACTGGAGGGGGTACCAAGGGACAGCATGGAGAGGATATCTCTACACACTATTGTATGTATATAATGTTACTGGAGGGGGTACCGAGGGACAGCGTGGAGAGGATATCTCTACACACTATAGTATGTATATAATGTTACTGGATGGGGTACCGAGGGACAGCATGGAGAGGCTATCTCTGCACACTATAGTATGTATATACTGTTACTGGAGGGGGTACCGAGGGACAGCATGGAGATGATATCTCTACACACTATAATATGTATATAAGGATTACTGGAGGGGGTACCAAGGGACAGCATGGAGAGGATATCTCTACACACTATAGTATGTATATAATGTTACTGGAGGGGGTACCGAGGGACAGCGTGGAGATGATATCTCTACACACTATAGTATGTATATAAGTGTTACTGGAGGGTGACCGAGGGACAGCATGGAGAGGATATCTCTACACACTATAGTATGTATATAATGTTACTGGAGGGGAACCGAGGGACAGCGTGGAGATGATATCTCTACCCACTATAGTATGTATATAAGTGTTACTGGAGGGGGTACCGAGGGACAGCATGGAGAGGATATCTCTACACCCTATTGTATGTATATAATGTTACTGGAGGGGGTACCGAGGGACAGCATGTAGAGGATATCTCTACCCACTATAATATGAATATATAATGTTACTGGAGGGGGTACCGAGGGACAGCATGGAGACGATATCTCTACACACTATAGTATGTATATAATGATACTGGAGGGGGCACCGAGGGACAGCATGGAGAGGATATCTCTACACACTATAGTATATATATAATGTTACTGGAGGGGGTACCGAGAGAGGGGATATTTACACTATAGTGCCAGTATGTGTAATATGATACTGTAGGGGCTCCAGAGAGGGGATATATACATGCTATTATATGGATATAATTTTACTTGATGCCCCCAGATATGGACATTTACACAATTATGTATGTGTATATTGTTACTGGAGGGGGTATTGAGGGTGGGGGAATCTCTACTTACTTTTGTATACACATGTATATAATGGTACTGAAGGGGGTAACGAGGGGAGGGAAATCTCTACTTACGTTAGTATTTATATAATTGTACTGAAGGGGCCCCAAGGGAGGGAGTATTCACACAAAGTGTGTATATAATGGTACAGTAGAGGGCCCCAAGGGAGGGAATACGTACCTACATACCAAAGTTTGTATATAATGGTCTGGAGAGGGCTGCCAGGGAGGGGATACCTTTACAGCATGGTATCTCCCAGTCTGGCCGACCTTCATTCAATTGGCAAAGACAATTACTCTGCAGGTTCAACCTCAAAAATGTATGTGGCCAAGTAATTAATTTGTTTCACAAGGCTCCCTTCCCTGTCCAAGAAGCATATTTTCGTGGAGATTTGAATTACCTAGGTAGCAACAACAAAGTGAAACATAAATATTGGAAAAATAGATTCACTATTAAATGAAAGTGTTTTACAGTGAAATTTAAATATTGTATTGTCTCTAAATCATATCTTACAGGTGAACAAGTACTTTTTCATGCTGCCAAAGCTTCAACTAGTGAAGGGAAACAGTTCTATAAGGTAATAATACATTGTATTAAGGAGGTAGAGGGGTAGATGTTCTAGTGAAGGGAAACAGTTCTATAAGGTAATAATACATTGTATCAAGGAAGTAGAGGGGTAGAGGTTCCATGATAACCCAACAAAATACAGTGGTAGTAAATAATGTCTTTAATTACAACTAAAAATAAAAGTTGAAAGTGGAAATAAAAATGTGTATATTCTTGGATTTATTTCAATAAAAACTAGACGCAGGCCATTATGTCATACTAACAGTTGAGCATATTTTGATTGAACTTTGTTAACATGTATGTAGGTAGTGTTTAGTTATGTGTGTATGCAGTGTGTCACAGGATAAAACTTTAGTTATGTGTGTATGCAGTGTGTCACATGATAAAACTTTGTATACATGTGTGTAGGCAGTGTGTCACATGATAAAACTTTGTATACATGTGTGTAGGCAGTGTGTCACATGTTAGAACTTTGTATACATGTGTGTAGGCAGTGTGTACACATGTGTACATATGTCAAATGAGAACCTTTGAGTGAGATGGTGAAACTTAAAATTTTAAAACAACAGGTGAATAAATCCAATTCTGGACAAAAAAGCATCAAGCAAAAATTTGGTGAGGCAAAAATATTATGATTTACAGTCTTTGTGGACAATTTACAGTTGCAAGACTTCCCAGGTTAAAATTGATGACAGAAACGTAGCTCGTTACAAGTGGCTGATTGGGTGGTAACTAATCATTAGGTGCTAGCTCTAATTTTGATTTGTGTAAATTTGTCTAAACTGAAAGTATTATGTGATCATTATTATTGTCAACAATTACTAAAATATACATATTACATTGTATAACTTATACAATGTAATATGTATGTCCTTAGTCCTTAATTATCAAGGACTTTTATTTCTGTTTTTGCTTTTGTTGCTTATGTTATTCATCACTCTTAATTTAGAATTGTTCATTTTTGTAGGGCTAACACACCTGTTTCGACTCTGACGAAAATGACAGACCTGAAAGAAAACGAAACCAATGGGTTTCACGTGAGAGAGAACAAAGTTATGAAGAATGCATCTAGGGCCAACAAGCGCAACACAAAAGGTAGGTAGTTTCACTCAACCAGAAAGAAGAGCACTGAAATGTATGTGTAGTATTAGGTTTGGGTCCAAGTCCATCTTTCAGCAGAGGTTCTATAATGGTTTGTTTGAACCATAGGTCAACCAATTTCACCCCTGAAGAAATATTTGAACTCTTCCAATTCAAAGGTTGGAATAGTTCATTATGAAATTTCAGGGGTGAATGAGCTCAGGTATAAAGAATATCTGTGTTACATAGACTCCCGCATAGTATTGTGGCACCTGCTTACTTTGGGCTTGTAGGTATGTGGTGCAGTCAAAGACTGGAGAACTATAACATAAACAGTACACAGTTTAGTCACTTTTTACTCTCTACTTGACTGGAGGGAATTTTCCAACTATATAAGCACTCAACTAATAGGTTAAACTCTTAGTTCTCAGTAGAGGACATATACCTTGTAGAAAGACATCTGCTATGTTAGAATGAGAATACATTTTGTCCACTCATGATCTTCGGCTTAGTAAAGCCATCCATAAATATAACACGAACTGTATAACATGAAATGTTTGTTGTGTATAAACTTTCTTTGTTTTCGTGGTTGCTATGGAACCATGGATATAAATATAACACGAACTGTATGACATGAAATGTTTGTTGTGTATAAACTTTCTTTGTTTTCGTGGTTGCTATGGAACCATGGATATAAATATAACGAATATTTCTACAATCTAAAGAATATACACAACGAAAAATCTAAAATGTACGCATTTTCGCGGCAAATTTACAACGGGAACGGGAAACATTGTACGTGGCTAACAACGAAAATTAATACATTTTGTTGTAGGGACTAACCACAAAAGTTTGTACACACAAAATAATTTGAAAGCTCAAACCACGAAAGAAAGTACACACGGACATTTCATGTTATACAGTAAAAAGGTCGATGATAATCATTATTTGTCTAAAATAGATTGTTCCAAGTCATCTCAACACGCAGGTGTTCATGTGTTTGGTGCTGTTTATATACTTTTCTTGTCTTTTTTTCCCCGCCTGGTTGTGTATTGATGTTTGATATTGCATTGTTTACCAGGAGAGACATCACTTCACAGAGCCTGTATCAAAAATGATGTGATTAACCTGAGGAAACTTTTGAAGATACCAGGTAAATAACATGAATGTACAAGTAAAGTATGCACATGTACAGGTAAATTGTATAAATACAATGTACAGGTAAATTATTACACATGTACAGGTTAATTGTATATATACAATGTACAGGTAAATTATACCCATGTACAGGTAAATTGTATAAACACAATGTACAGGTAAATTATACCTATGTACAGGTAAATTGTATAAACACAATGTACAGGTAAATTATACACATGTACAGGTAAATTGTATAAATACAATGTACAGGTAAGATATACACATGTACAGATAAATTGTACAGGTAAATTTTATAAATACAATGTACAGGTAAATTATAACACATGTACAGGTAAATTGTATATATACAATGTACAGGTAAATTATACATATGTACAGGTAAATTGTATAAACACAATGTACAGGTAAAGTATACACATGTACAGGTAAATTGTATAAATACAATGTACAGGTAAGTTATACACATGTACAGGTAAATTGTATAAATACAGGTAAATTGTATAAATACAATGTACAGGTAAATTATACACATGTACATGTAAATTTTATAAATACAATGTACAGGTAAATTGTATAAATACAATGTACAGGTAATGTATGCACATGAATAGGTAAATTTTATAAATACAATGTACAGGTAAATTATACACATGTACAGGTAAATTATATAAATACAATGTACCTGTAGGTAAATTGTATAAATACAATGTACAGGTAAATTTTTACACATGCAATAGTAATAGATGCTTTCAAACACAATTTTATAACTCATTCTACCAGAGGAAAAAACTATAATTATAAATGCCTTCATAAACTGCTGCAATGCATTTTTCTTTTGCATGAAGTTAGAATGTATACTACTGCAAGCATTTTAGTCTCACCACCACGAAGTAGCGGAAGCAAGTCTAAGGCATAAAGTTTTTGCGTTTAAGTTAGTTTCACTGAAAGTATAAGTGCTAGACCAACCAAACTTGGACCATAGATGCATCTTAAGTAGTACATCTCAACACATGCATCAAATGCTGGATAAGGCCTTCCCTTCATGGTCCATTGACTTTGTCAGCATCTTCATCAACATTAAGTTTTTGTGTTTAAGTTAGTTCTCTGAAACTATAAGTGCTACACCAACCAAACTTGACATGTGCATTTATGGTCAAAGCAGGGCACAGGCGAGACATATCAATCCGAATGGCTTGTCTTTTTGTAAACATTTTCTGTAAATGCTTCTGAGATGTGCAAGCATATCTTAGATCTTGTCAACTTTTTTAAATTTCCATGTGAGAGATTATACTTGCTCAGAGTTAAAAGCATAAATAAAACGTGTGTTTGTTCACCTTAGGGAAAAACACACATTAAGTTGTTCTTTCAGATGACATCATCAAATCTTAGGAAATAGGAATGGTTTAGCTACTTCACTGGTTGAAAATTGTAGTTCAAGATAGAAATACTAGTCATTCTCACAGGTATTATCATAAGCGATTTTTTCTTTTTCTTTTTTTAGGAGTAGACATCAATGCCAAAGACAATGCTGGCTGGACACCTCTTCACGAAGCTTGTAACCACGGACACATACAGTGTGTCAAAGAACTACTCAACTTTGTACCATCAAAGACAGTGGACACTTTCTTCAATACAGGTACCTAGACACCAAAGTCTTCGTGGCTACAATTTTCCAATCCTAGGAGATTGTACATTCCATATTCCAGTCGGAAATCATATTGAGTTCCGTATGGCAGTCCTAAATCAGCACATATTTCATATTTGAATCCCGAATCATTGTCTTGTCTTCCGTAAATGGGGACATTTTTTTCTGTAGTTGTTTTAAACTTTTACTAATTTACAGGTGAAAATGTGTGCAGAAAGGCAGACCTGTTGCTAAGTAACAATGACGGAGTGACTCCCCTACATGATGCTGTTATAAACGACAGACTGGATGTGTGTCGTCTGCTGCTTCAACATGGCGGTAAGGGTATTGTATGATATGATATTACAAGACTGACTAAACTTTGTTACAGCTACTTATAAACTACTTGAGTGATCATGATGAAACTTGGTGTGCTTGATCTCCTTGGTCCATAGTTTTGCATGCTGTAATTTGAGATGGATGAGCCCTTTCACCACTGTAGACCATAATGGACTCATCCAGATGAATGTATGGTAGAGTCTACTCAAGTTACCTGGGGGTGAAATGGTTAAAAAAGGAAAATGGCTGCCTGTGTTCGATTTTCCATGTAAAGTTTATTAATGATTTTTCTTGAAAAATACTAAAGGGATCATTACGAAAAATTGGTATGTATGATCTCTGTAGTATGTATTTTGTTTATGTTTCGATTAGAGACGAATCAGCAAAAAACTTCTAATCATTCATTGATGATTTTGCATTTTAAATTTGTGACCGCTTTCTCTCGGGAACTACTGGTAATGGTGTATATGATCCCCTTTATGTTCAAACTCAGGAAATCAAGACAAGGAACTGGCAATTAGACTATATTAAATTTGGTATGCATTTAAACTTAAGTTTGTTTTCATTTGAAAATACTAAAGGGATTATGATAAAATTTTGTTGCATGATCCCCTTTGTCCCCAGATGTGCATGCTTCAATTTGAGATTGATTAGGAAATGTAGCACATAAAAGCCGTTCAAATATGTTGAAGCGTGTTTTGCATGATCTCCTCAGTAGATGTATATATGTTTAAAGAAAGCAGAGCTTAAAGAGAAAAGAACCTATTGTACCATCAGCATTCCATGACCTTTCAGTGGTAGGACTGTATTTAACACAACTTGTGTTACAAGTGGGCACATATGTGATATAGGACTATCTTTAACTTTGTTACAGGTTTGGCACTTACGCAATGTAGGACTACCTTTACCTAAATTTTTCGTTACAGGTTGGGCACTTACGCAATGTAGGACTACCTTTACCTAAATTTTCCGTTACAGGTTGGGCACTTATGCGATGTAGGACAATCAACAATGCTACTCCCCAGGACCTCGCTGTGACAAAAAATATGAGAAACTTGCTGCTTTCTTTTGAAAAAGAGGAACATATCAGTAGTTCTCAAGGTATACATATAACATTCTGGAACTTCTATATAATGAAAAATATTTCGTTATGTTTCGTTTTTACGAGTGGAGGTACAGCCATGAATGACTTCCATCTGTTTGTTTATGTATTTTACCATATGTGATTAATATTTCTGGATTGAAATAATGGTACTGCTAGGACATTATGTGAACCTATTCATATTACTGTGTATGTCCATTTTCAAGTTTTTTTGGCTATGTATCTGATAATTAATAGTGAATGTGACTCCATATAAACAGGGCTAGGTATGCATATCAGATGTGAAGAATATTAGCCTGTTTCAATTATTAGTGTTAGTCCTAACAGGATGAACAGGAAATATAAGCTGGGCTAGTTACTTATGACAATACATTGACTTGTTCTGTGCTGTAGGGAGCGACTGTTCTCCGGAGAGCCATGTACCTAGTGACTACCTGTACGACCAGGTGCTGAGACAGGAGGGAGCACAACAGTGCAGCAACGCTGATGACTGTGTCAAGTACATCTGTCTGGTAACTACCACCATTAGGTCCTATCTCGAGGCTTCCAACATCTGGACACTGGTCTCGCTCACAAGGGGCGTGGCTCCTGCTGCGGGGAGGATTTCATCATTCGTAGGAGATTTGTCGTCACAGGCAGGTGGAGTGGTTCCTGTGTTAAATGGAATTAGAAACACCAACAGTGTTATGACACACCCTCAAGGAAGTGATGATGTAGTATCGCAAGCTTACAGTCAGGAACAAGGAACACAGGGGCTGATGAACCTTGACACGCATGTAGTTGACACAGTAAAGTCAGACTTGAAGGTTGCCAAAAATTTGAAGCGATATGTCCAGCATTTTGAAAATCATGTGATGAAGATAAGTCGCCCTGTTGATCATCACTCACTTAAATCTCAGATCATGTGTTTGTGGTGTCTAGCAGAAATGAATTCTCGTCCAGTGGTTGCAGAAACAAGTTCTAACTGTGATTTTAAGTCCAGGATAACTTCCTAACACTGCATGACCCGAAGCTGTATTCTCATGCTTTTCCTGATCATGATACTAGACTATCTCAGGTTTTATGTGATGATATATTGTGTTGCCTTTTGGGATGTTTCTCTAGTCATGTAGGTACCCGACAGATGTGCCAAAATTATTGAACCAGTCTTTGACTTCATGATAGAAAACTGTATACAGGAATATCAAAGTTTCCAATTTCAGGTGTTAAAACCAAAACAGATATTTTGGTTGACAAATGACTGTCAAAATGTTCGTGTTTTATTTGAAATGTTTTCAAAGTTCATATAATAAATATTAATAATTATATCATATATCATAGGGGCTATAGGTTTGCACTCTCTCTGTCAGTCAGTCAGTGTGTGAAAGGGTAGAACTTGTATACATGTATCATGAAGTTTTGTATGTGAATACCTCTTTGGATCGCAGTGTCACATACTGAAATAAGGTCACTTGCCTCGCTATAAAAAGATACGAACCTTCGTTCATTGTGTGTCAAATCGTCTGGGGCATATCTCATATACCAGGTATACGGTCACCAAGTAATGGATGTTCTTGGGGAATATCTCCCAGATTTTGTTGTTCAAATTTTATATGAGATATATACCTCGTAAGATGGTTGAGTGTCACATACTACGTCAAATAAAATGTGTTATTCTGCCGTGTATCAAGTTCTTAGCATTACAATTTAAATCTAGGTCATTCTGCATACTTTTCCTATTTGACTTGTCTCTAGATTGCTGACAATTAGAATAAGATAAATGACAATTCTTTAGGCTAATGGTATATCTGTAGTTTCAGAACAACTCTCTAAGAGTACTTGTATGAAATTTCTCTAGATTTGTGACAGTTCTTCAGGCTCATGTTAATTCTCCAGGTTCATAACAATACTCTAGATATGGAAATTTCACACAATTCTTTTGGTGATAACACTGTTTCCAAAGTTCTTTAGATTTCGCTTTGTTGTACTATTGTGTTCAAATCTTAAGTTGTTGACACGAATGTTACAAAGGAACCGTGTACTTTATACAGCAAAACATTTTTGACTAAACTGAAGCAAAAATTCTGTAGGCTATGCAGTGTGTCAAAATCGTAGTCTCTGGTCCAGTTGTAATAGCACATGGGACCCAACATTAGATGTTAGTAGTCTGAAGGCGACAGTCATCTTTCTGAACACAATTGCAAAATGTAACTACATCAAAATTTTTTATCAAAGGAAATAAAATATCTTACTACATTACTGATGTTTTGTTTCTGTTATTAATCTTTGACAAGATGTTGTGTGTTTAAAGTAAATCTAAATGAAGGCTTGAATTTCGACTCCACATTGATGAGCAATGTGGCCAATTTTAAGTTTTATTTTGCCACAGTAAGCAGCCATTTTGCATTATCCGCCTAGTATCTAATTGTTTGTGTAACAAGAGAAATGTATGACCAGACCCGGGTTCGAACCCGGCACCCTACGAACTCCAGACAAACGCTCTACCAATTGAACTATTTGGTCTCCGACCAACGACCCTGTCCAGTTTGCTACATCCCTCCCTCCTTTATCGAAGTCTTAGCCCCCAAAGACAACACTATTTACAAGTTACAATTCAGATTTGGATATCCCTTACTAAGCATCCACCAAGTGCCTGAAACAAGGGTTGGCAAACTCACCAATTTTTAACAGGAGAAGGAGAAATGCACAGCCAGACCCTGACAATTGACCCGGTCCAGTTCTGCTACATTGACCCGGTCCAGTTCTGCTACATTTGCTTCAAATTCACTCAGTTTTAGATAGACTGGGACATCTAGCATAGAACAAACACCTAAAGATCACGTTGCAACTTGATTTGCATGATCTTGTTACCTGTAGATGTGTTTGTTCAAGATGAGAACAGAAAAAAGTAGAGAACCTATCCATCCCTCTGAGCTCTTCTTTGACAAAGGGAAGTAATCCAGTCGTGTGAGAGGTTTCACATCAGTGGAGTATTTGTTAGTGAAATACAAACAATACAGCTATAGATATGAGATAATTAGACATTTATTTTACACTCTTACTTTCACAAAACTATATAAAATCACTTCCAGTTCAAGTACATTACACATGAATACGTTTTTCAGCATTTAAAGTTTGTCAATGTTTCACATTTTCACAGATTTCTTTTTCCATATATGGCTGTACGCACTAGAGTCAAAGTCATCCTCAAATTCTTCAACAACTTTAATCTTTTTCCGTGGTGTTCTTTTTAGAATCACTGCATTTGCTTCTTCCTCTGATAACTCGCTGACATTGATAGGTAACTGCAAAAATAAGGACAGATGTTATTCCACATTCAACAATTTTTCCAAAAGTTATTGCCCTTTGTTCATTTCAGTATTTGATTTTTGTCTGGCAATCTCCTCCTACATTTTTCAACCGATCTCTTTGTAACTTGGTATACATTCTAATCATGATATGAAGTTGTGTCTCCCTTAAAAGAGTTTTGATTCAACGATTTTTGCAAAAGTCATTGCCCTTTGTTTATTTCAGTATTTGATTTTTGTCCGGCAATCTCCTCCTACAATTCGACCGACATCTTTGAAACTTGGTATACATTCTAATCATGATATGAAGTTGTGTCTCCCTTAAAAGAATTTTGATTCGACAATCTATGCAAAAGTTATTGCCCTTTGTTCATTTCAGTATTTGATTTTTGTTCGGCAAATCTCCTACATTTTTGGACAGATTTCTTTGAAACTTAGTAGGCCCAATAATCATGATATGTTGTTGTTTCCTTGAAAAGAATTTTGATCAAACAATTTTTGCAAAAGTTATTGCCCTTTGTTCATTTCAGTATTTGATTTTTTTATCCGGAGATTTTCTCCTTCATATTTATAGCATGACAGCTAACCAATCTTTGAATGATGCAGATCTTATTTCAATGTAAGAAAGTATATAACACTATATGGCTTTCGACGGGCGTATATTGTTCCGCCCCGCGGTACTCTTGTTAGCACTTTCCATGTTTTCAATATTGTGTTAATTATGATAATGCTAATTTAGGTTTCTGTACATTGTTTTCTATTCTGTTTAATTAGCAGTTTATCAATGTCAGGAGCAAAGAGTATCAGAGTGGAATTAAAGATCTGGATTTAATCATATTGAGTTTACGATCATTGAATTATAATAAATCACTTGTGTCATCAAACGTTGGATAAACAATGCAGCAGGGTTGGTGTTTATGATGTCCCGATATCCTTTTATAGAGTAGAATTTCCAAAGGACCCCCATGTACCCTCATTCAATAATACCATTTGAACTATGCAAAAGGACCATGTTTATGACGCTGTCACTTTTCCATCAGAATTCAATTTTGCTTAATTTTGCTAGAAACAAGGGGCTATGATGGCCTTTGTCTTTGATAAGTAAGCTATTATGCTTTGTAGTCACGGTCATTTATATGAAGAAACTTTACAGCACTCCACCCCAGGTGTCTGCTAGCACACCTGTCTAAAGTATCATAACCCTGGGCCTTACTGAACTTGAGAGGAAAACAGCCTACAAATCATACCCAAAGTTGACCTTTGACCTCGACAAAACATTAGAAAAGGTATCGTGACTCTAGACCTTATGGTTATACACAGAAAGGTTTTAGGTCACCTGGGACAAAGGCTCAAGTGACCTGTTATGATCAATTTTAGCCATTGTCACCTGTAAACTTTTTACATTATTGACTTTTTCTTCTGAAGAACCAGTATATGGATTTTTTTCACACTTGTCAGAATAAATCTTGGTAGAAGGGGGTATCGCATTATAGAATTAGGGTTCCTGCCCCATCCACATTCTCCAGACTCAGATGTACAGTGGGGAGGATGTACATTTTACTTTGGTTTATATAACACTTTTGGGTATATTTTGTCGTTGCCAAATATGAAAATGGCTATAAAACAAAAAATCTTCCTCCTCAGACTCGGATGTACCTAAAGAATATTCCATTCATGGATGGACAGGTGCTTAGGTACATGACTTGATTGTAACTTCCATTATCCCCGGCCCCAGGTCATCCTCGATATCCAGGGGTTGCGCTCACTTTCACTCTCTGCACCTCTGGAATATGTCATAGCAAAATTGAAGGCACATGGCTAGCTATTTGATTGGTGTCGGGTAAAAAAAACACCTGACCAATCACTACGCTGATACTTGTCCTTTGAAGATAACAATGTGACGCCTAACTTCAAAGCCAGTAACTTGAGAACCTGGTAACTTTTACCGTTGCGCAACCACCAAATTCTTTTGATGTACATTAAAGGACCAAACGTGTTTTCTCGTCTCATCCACAAGGTGCTGCACATTCCAAGGGTGCAGAGAGCGAAAGTGAGCGTAACCCATGGATGTCGAGGATGGCCATAGGTCATCTGTCTGCCTTTGGGAGAGGGTAAAATTTACTTAACTATTAGCTGATAGAAATAGCACTATTGGGTATAATGTGACCGTTTTCAGCAAGAAATTATTCAAACATGGTTGGAAAAATTGTAATGATATGGCAATTACATGGTATGAGAAAAATAAGATGTTGCTTGCCCTAGGGTTAGAGAGGCTCTAGGACGGGGGAAAATGGCTAAACCTAATTCTTTGAGAACACGTTGCAATAATCGAGGTTCCCACCCTCCAATTCCAATAACAAAAGCAGGGATTTGATTGGTTAAAGTCAGTCTGTACCGTGATGAGTTTTCTGGGTTCCTTGTATCGCACTGTGATGGTAGAGCCATCTGGATAGACTACAGTTGTGGGATACTGGCGGACATAAATCTTTCTACGGCAGCGTGTCAGTGATGTTTTGCTGGACATTGTTTGATACTGATGTGCCAGATGTCTTTGACAGACTTTGCACAGCGACTCTCCAAACCTGAAAAATAGTACATTTATACATTTATTGCCTGGCACAATAACTTGAATAAGACTAAAACAGACCTTAATTGCACAACTCAGGAGACCAAACGTGTATCAGCATTGTTAGAATAAAAACCCTTCAGTCAGGATGTAGCCTATATACACTTCATAGCAAACATTTAGTGAATGAAGGGATGGAATTTTTTTGATTTTCTATCAGTAGCATGCATTTCATCAGGTGACCAGTTTCTGTGCTCTTAAGACAGCATTGGCGTGCTTCTCTTTCTTTATCAACAGCATATAGTCTTTAATTTTAACAGGGCAGTGACAACTAGTCAATCTTGTCATCATCATTGAACAATGCCACTGTGTGCCCAGTTTCTGTGCATGTCTATCAATAGCATACACTTTATATACTAACTGGTATAGTGCTATGGTCTAAAGATATGGAAGTTGATTGGAAACAAATGTTTAAAAAATCATTTTGACGTTTGTATCAATATCGGCCACATTTCGACAACAAAATGGAGCAGCACACCAGTTAGGGTCAGCTACTGTCCAGGATGATGATGATGATGATGATGATGATGATGATGATGATGATGATGATGATGATGATGATGATGATGATGATGATGATGATGATGATGATGAAAATGTTTTGTATAGGATTATACTTGTATTTACTAAGAGGTCACTTATGCCGTACCCGTCGTCCGTCGGTCTGTAAACGTTTTCTTTGAGCGACTTCTTCTGAAGAACTTGAGGGTCTATAGGGTAATGATATTTGGCCAGTAGGTACCTGGGATGGAGTGCTATAAAGTTTCCTCATTAAAATGACCTTGACCTACGTTCAAGGTCACAGGGGTCAAATATGTTAAAAACTCTAACAATCTTCTTCTCAAGTTCCATAAGGCACAGGGTCATAATATTATGCTAGTAGGTACCTGGGATGGAGCGCTATAGAATTCCCTCATTAAAATGATCTTGACCTTCTTTCAAGGTCACAGGTGTCAAAAACTTTATCAATCTAAAAGATAAAGAATCTTTATATTTGGCTGGTGGCTTCCTGGGATAGAGCCTGACAAAGTTTGAGAATGAAAATGACCTTTACTGACTTTCAAGGTCACAGCGGTCAAATATGTCAAACTCTTTAAACGACTTCTTCTGAAGAACTAAAAGGTATAGAACCTTGATATTTGGCTGTTGGCTTCCTGAGATAGAGCCCGACAAAGTTTGAGCATGTAAATAACCTTGACCAATTTTAAGGTCACAGGTGTCAAATATGTCAAAAACATCAAATGACTTCTTCTGAATAATCGAAAGGCATAAAATTATAATATTTGACTTCTTTGGAAAAATGACCTCAACCTACTTTAAAGGTCACAGAGGTCAACAACATTTCAAACAATTTGTTCTGAAGAACCAAGATGAATGGATTCATAAGATTTGGCTGGTAGCTTTTTGGGATAGAGCTTACAAAGTTTGAAAAGGAAAATAACATTGACCTACTTACAAGGTCACAGGGAAAATTATGTCCAACAACTTCTGAAGAAAAAACAAAAAGCATAATCTTATAATATTATTTGGCTGGTAGTTTAAACAGATGGAGCCTACAAAGTTTGCGAGGGAAATATGTGTAGTGCAATACAATATTAAATGAAAATATTTTACTATGACTGCTTTAAACCTTTCACCACTGTAGACCATAATGGACTCATCTAGATCGATGCATGGTAGAGTCTACTAAAGTTACATAGGGGTGAAAGGGTTGATATTCAGGTGAGCGATACATGCCCTCTGGTCCTCTTCTTCTTCTTTATACGAGGGCTCCATCAGTTTGATGATTATGCCATCGGGGGTCGTATTGTAGAGGCGTGAAGGGGTTATTTATAGTGATTAGGGGTGGGGTTGGGTTTTTTGTGATTTTTTTGTGCAAGGTATAGATAAAAAGTTAAAATCTGGTGTATGTACTAGTGTGTGATGAGGGCTTCAAGGGCTGTGTAGGGTAAGTGTGCCTTGAAGTCCTCTAGTGTTGTGCATTGGACTGCTGCTAAGGGGAGGAGGTTCCATTGTGTTACTGTGTGTGGGAAGAATGAGTATTTGTAGGTGTCCTTTGTAGCAGATATGTGTTTGTATGCGTACGGGTGTACCTGTCTGGTGCGGGGGTCTACAGGAGTGAGTATATGTGTTGGGTTTAAAGCTACGATTCTGTGTATAATTTTGTAAAATAGGATAAGTCTAGTGTATAAGCGTCGTGTTTGTAGTGTTGGCCATTGGAGTGTGTGGATCATGTCTGTTACGGAACTAGTGTTGTGATATCTGTTTTGTACGTAGCGTGCTGCTCTTCGTTGTGTTTTTTCTATTTGTTTAACGTTTCTAATGCAGTGACAACTAGCCTACTTAATATATATTGTATCCATTCATAATTTATTTTGTCGCATCAAACACCGTATGAAACACCGACATAAATGGTTGCATGAACCTGATTCAACATGTGATAAATTACCCCCCTTCATAAAAGTTAGGGCGATTGGTGTTGTGGGTGAAACACGTTAATGGATTGGCGTATAAATACTATATTGATAACAAAGAAAGAAACAGAAATCGTACTAGTATCCATGATTTCTTGTGAAATAGTGAACTTAGTCCATATGAATACATAGAGAGGGCATACGAAGGTAAATGTCAAATGTGAAAGTCGAAGTACCTTGTTAGAGCCGCCATGGTCTTTTTTTACCACAACTTCCGGTTTGTCGCGTGTGCAATTCAAAATATTATTGTTAGATAACTTCATTTTTTGACGCCACGGCGTTTAAGTGTTATTGTAGCTCTTGGTTTCATGATTTAATGGTATGATCAATTTGATTGATTTTACAATATGACTTATGATAAAATTATAAAATAATCAGAAATGAAACATGTCACATGACCTGCAAAAAAAAATCATGTGACTCGCTTTCATTTTGTCGACAACTGTGTTTTCTGAAATGACTGTGTTTGTGAGATCAGTTGTGCTGTTTATTTTATTACTTAACTGTAAGTATTTTTGTGTATACTATTTAAATCATATCACAGTAACATGGCCAATCTGCATCTATTCCATCCTTTAGATAACGTTGATATTCTGTTATTTGAATGGTAATATACTCTTGTCTTAAGCAGTTTAGGCCTACATTACCATCACACAGTCACAGGTGCTTGATACATGTGACCAGTACCTATGCATCATTAACACCACCACCACCTCATGAATACTATCATGTATCTTTGAATGCCAATGTTTAAGGACTGTCTGATTTGTGCCATCTGCAAGTTAAATATGGAAATCAAAAAATATTTGTTGTTTTAATATTCTGGTTTTATATGTGATTGCAGTGACAGACGTCAACAGTGTGACATTGACGTTCTCGGAGAGCGATTTACAGTTGATCATCTCAGAAACAAAAACTGTGTGGCTAGTGCCAAGGTAAGACTTCATAAGGAATTAGATTGATTTTCTTGTGACTCACAGTGTATGTGACATAACTTGACAAACTTTAGATTTTTTTTTGCTAGATTATAATGATATTAAAATGTGGTTCATCATGTTGTCTCACTGTGACATAGTTTCATTCGGACAGGAAAAGGTACGGGGGTCACGTGTCTGTCCACATGGGTTTTCTCCGAGTACTCCAGTTCTGTTAATAGTTTACATATGTAATAGGAGAGCAAAAATGCACAGCCAGATCGGGGTTCGAACCCAGGACCTTCTGAACTCTAGACGCACACTCAACCAATTGAGCAATCAACCCAGTCCAGTTCCGCTACATTCCTCCCTGCTTTAAAAAAGTCTTTGACCCCGAATATACACAATACCTTATACCACCTTCTGTGGGTATATTTCATTGGGTGCCAAATGTTACAGGAGAGGAAAAATGCACGGCCAGACCGGGGTTCGAAACCCAGGACCTTCCAAACTCGAAACGGACGCTTAACCAATTGAGCTATCTGGTCGCCGACAATCGACCCAGTCCAGTTCCGCTACATATACATGTATAAATTATAAATCATTCCATCTTTTGGAGACTCATCACAATAGCTTTAAACAATTGTATTAAGTTAATTAATAAACTGCTACATTATATATGGTTTTTGCTTGTATGCAGGTTCAATTTCATTGATATTTAATGAATTTCTAGAGTAATTACATGTTTCTTTTAGCAAACAGTACTTTTTATACAGAACAAACCAACATTGGTAGAAAAGAAAAAATATAAAAGAAAAAGTGTCAATTTTTAAACATGTTTCCCAAACTTTTACAAACTGCTTTTTAACACTTGAAAATGAGAATCAGTTGAAACATTTTCATAGATTGAAGTATTTACATACTTACATAAAATGATATAAATTCTTTTAAAAAATCTGCACAATTATTTTCATCAAAGTAACTTTACAGTTAGAACAAAAACATTGTTCCTGCATCCTTAACTTTCCCCCTACATGTAGACAACTCCATTAAAAATTGAAGACTGTATTTGATATAATTTAAAATTCAATTTGTTAAGTATCAAATGTATGTAACATTGAAATAGTATTTTGATATTAGTCCACAACAGTAGGTTGGTACTACATGTATTTTAACTCATTCACCCCTGAAATTTCATAATGAACTATCCCAATGCAACCTTTGAATTGGAAGAGTTCAAATGTGTCGTCAGGGGTGAATGAGTTAACATGCTGATTAATTTTGCCTCTAGGTGTGAGGCTTCATCAGGATTATAGTACCTATTGCTGTCTTTATAAACAGGTTTTATTGTAATTCTTTTTTATTTTTATTTTCCTCTAGTGAGCCACTGAATAAGACGGCGCTATTGTTGTTTATGTACGAGATAGGAGATGACATACGATACACTGAGGATCATCAGTTGCTTGGCCCCCTGCCTGACATCAACATAACAGCCAACAATAGCCAGGGAGTGCAGATTAGGCTGACACCTGTTCACGCTGGCAATCTTAACGTAGGAGTTAATTCTTCATCCGAGGAGCTAACAGGGTAAGGTGTGAAAGCAAGTTATATGGGAGGAAGTGTCCAGGAGTTAACAAGTTTTGAGTTGAAAAGGCCAAAGGTCAAGGTATTATGAACCTGTTTTTTTGCTTTAAAAAAGCCAAAGGTCAAGGTCTTATGAACCTATTTTGTTGTATGAAAAAGGCAAAAGGTCAAGATCTCATTAACCTATTTTGTTGTACAAAAAAGGCCAAAGGTCCAGGTCTAATGAATCATTTTGTTGTATGAAAAAGGTCAAAGGTCAAGGTCTCATTAACCTTTTTTTTTGTATAAAAAGGCCAAAGGTCAAGGTCTCATTAACCTATTTTGTTGTTCAAAAAAAGGCCAAAGGTCTAGGTCTTATGAACCTATTTTGTTGTATGAAAAAGGTCAAAGGTCAAGGTCTCATTAACCTTTTTTGTTGTATAAAAAGGCCAAAGGTCAAGGTCTCATTAACCTATTTTGTTGTACAAAAAAGGCCAAAGGTCTAGGTCTTATGAACCTATTTTGTTGTATGAAAAAGGTCAAAGGTTAAGGTCTCATTAACATATTTTTTTGCATTAAAAAAAAGTCAAAGGTCAAGGTCTCAACCTATTTTGTTGTGCAAAAAAAGGCCAAAGGTCTAGGTATTATGAACCTATTTTGTTGTATGAAAAAGGCAAAAGGTCAAGTACTCATTAACCTATTTTGTTGTATAAAAAGACCAAAGGGTAGGTCTTTTGAACCTATTTTTTTGTATAAAAAGGTCAAAGTTCAAGGTCCCATTAACATATTTTGGTGCATTAAAAAAAGCCAAAGGTCAAGTCCTTATGAACCTATTTTGTTGTATGAAAAAGGCAAAAGGTCAAGGTCTCATTAATCTATTTGTTGTACAAAAAAGGCCAAAGGTCAACGTCTCATTTACATATTTTGTTGCATTAAAAAAAGCCAAAGGTCTAGGTCTTGTGAACCTATTTTGTTGTACAAAAAGAGGCCAAAGGTCTAGGTCTTATGGACCTATTTTGTTGTATGAAAAGGGCAAAAGGTCAAAGTCTCATTAACCTTTTTTGTTGTATAAAAAGGTCAAAGGTCAAGGTCTCATTAACCTATTTTGTCATTTACAATTTTTTCCTGTGGAAGAGTTGTGTTGAATCTGCCGAATTCTAGGGAATTGCAATTGCTCTACATGTACAACCGGAGGTCTATACTATTAGCATGAAATGTTCTTGAAGCTCTTCAGATTGTCTTGCGGTACAAAGCTTTCATGGATGACCCATATGAAAACAAGCAGTAGTCTGTAGAATATAAACTAACTTTGTTTTACATGCTTTTATTTTCCTAGGTCCAAAGCAACCATGAAAACCATGAATATTTGTACACAAAAACATTTCATGTTATACAGTATAATGACTGGGTCATTCAAGTAGAAGCTTTTAAATCTCTTGTTTGTACACATTGTATGTATTGGATCGCATTGGATCTATTAACTCATTCACCCCTGAAATTTCATAACGAACTATTCCAACCATTGAATTGGATGAGTTCAAATGTGTCTTCAGGGGTGAATGAGTTAATTAATACAAATAATCTAACAACAATTCATAATTATAGATAGTGTTCAGCTACAGGAATATTTTATAAAGTTACAACTTTAACATTATATCTTACAAACATAATTTTACAGATGTTCGTGATGCTCTGCTTGTCTCCGCAGGTTGAAGGACACCTTTGTCAGGCTGAGTATCTTTCATAGTTCTGCCATCGTTTACATCAACATAGTGATTGGTTGGGTCTACTTTGTTGCTTGGTCGGTGTCGTTTTATCCACAAGTCTATGAAAACTGGAAGCGTAAAAGGTATTTACAAAATACAGTAATAGTTATGGTAAGAGCAATAATGGTTACGATATTATAAGGGCAAACTTTCATTTTATATGTTCAGAGCTCCTTTTTGTTAGATAAAAAAACAAAATTGCTTCAGGGATGTTTAATATGTTATTTTAATCTGCCTAAAAATATGATCTTGGAACATGTATAAGTTTAACCTTGGTTATGTTTTTCTTTGTCAATAAAACCTATGTTACCATCCAAAAAAATGTGTTTTCTAATTGCAATTTTGTTTTGTGTTTGAAGTCAGGTGTCCAGTTAAGAGAAATAAATGTTTACTGTCTTATATTTTCCCATAATTAAATCATTATGAAGAACTCTCAAGTCCATATCTGGGTAATTTCAAGTGCTACATGGACAATACATGTATCAATAATGCTGAATTTGACCTTCCTTTTATGTTTCAGTAACTTGGTTAAGATGAAATGGTCTAATTCATGTACATGCGTAAATTAACTTCAAAAGAATTGTTTTGTCCATATCTGGATTATAAAACATGTATAGCTACAAATATTATAATTTAAAAAAATACTTAATTTTGTAAACGTAATATGTTTCTGATCATTTCGCGGAATTTGAAAATAGAAATACACTTCATGTTTGCACCACCAGTACACATATTGCTTTATACATTTGGACTGAATGATCTCTAAGGGAACTTTGTAATTATGAATTGAAGCACTATGAACCACGCATTCACAATTGTTTAGCATGATACTTCATAACCTGGGCATCATGACTTGTTTAAAGAGGAGGGGATATTGATGTCCGTGTCATCTTGTGTACTTTGTTTCAGCGTGATTGGACTGAATTTCGATTTCCTTGCCTACAACATCACAGGATTTATAGCCTACAGTTTCTTCAACGTTGGACTTTATTGGATAAAAAGTATTGAGGTAAATAAGTTGTCAAGACAAATTTGTGACTGACAGTTTTAAAATGTCTGTTAGTCATTGAAATGTAATTTGAATAAAAACCTAGAAGTTGTAGATTTAATGTACGTAAATGTATGATGCTTTGTTTATAAATGTTTCTGGAGTATGATATTGTGTAAGTGTTGAATGAGTGTTACAATGTGATCATGAAAATAAATTATTACGTAAATACTTTCGTGTCTATCAAGAGTTCACTCCCCTTATAACCTTTGCCAGTACAGTACATTTGTTAGCCTATAGAAACTTGAAGGATGTTACAAATATTAATTAATCTTAATACAAATATATATTCCGAACTTATTATATCTAGATTCCTTACCAAAGAGGTAATTATAAACCTCTTTAACTGACCTGAACTGTCCAATACACTTGTCAAATAACAGTCCAACCTCTTTATGTTAAATTTACTTGTAACTCATTTACCCCTGAAGAAACATCCAAACTCTTCCAATTCAAAGGTTGGAATAGTTCATTACGAAATTTCAGGGGTGAATGAGTTGAAGATGCAACCTGCTTAAACCTACTGTTAACGAAGGGAACATACATTGAAGTAATTAACTGATTACTTTTCCATTTACAGGATGACTACAAGAGTTTACATCCAAGGGGGATAAATCCTGTCCAATTGAATGACGTGATTTTTGCACTACATGCTGTGTTTGTCACCCTGATCACAATCTGTCAGTGCTGTATCTATGAGGTAAAGAGCACCACTGTGGAACCATTGACTTGCCCATTTCATGCATATTTTAATTTTCATTTGATTACATCACTCACTTTCAAAAATGGCCATGTAATATTATGCCATGGTTTGGTTTCTGTCTGTCAACTTTTTCCTTTAAAAGCTTACTCCATCTGAATGACTGACCATATTTCAGCCAAGGAGAACCCTCATGCATAAAGTAATTTGAAGAAAAAGACATTTTTTTATTTATTTTAAACTGTTTAATTTGGTGTAAGATAAACCTGCATTTTGTGTAATCATGAAATTAATCAGTCATAAAATAACCATTGTTTTTACAGCGTGGTGGACAGAAAATTTCTAAGATTTCTTCACTCCTGCTTGTTCTGGCATGGCTCTTCATTTTCGTGACCTTGTTTCTGGCAGTGGGCAAAGTGATGACATGGCTGAGTTACCTATACTGCTTCTCCTATGTAAAGCTTGGTGTGACCTTGATCAAGTACATACCTCAGGTACTGTTAGTCTGGTTAGCTTAACCCCTTGTATAATTTGGGTAGATTTACCCCAGGTTCACTCAGTCTGGTTAGCTTAATCTCATGTGCACTCAGTCTGGTTAGCTTAATCTCAAGTGCACTCAGTCTGGTTAGCTTAACTCTATATGCATACAAACTGGTAAGCTTAATCTCATACACACTCAGTCTGATAAGCTTAACTTCAGGTACATATAATCTGGTAAGCTTCACTTGAGATACAGTCTGGTTAGCTTAACCTTATGTCCATTCTCACCGTCTAGTTAGCGTAACCCAAGGCACAGTCATCAAGTATAGTCTGGTAAACTTAACTTCAGGTATAGTCTGGTAAGCTTCAGGTATAGCCTGGTAAGCTTAACATCAGGCACAGTTTGGTAAGCTTAACCTCATGTATAGTCTGGTAATCTTAACATCAGGCACAGTCTGGTTAGCTTAACTTCAAGTATAGTCTGGTAAGCTATACTTCAGGCACCGCCTGGAAAGCTTAACATCAGGCACAGTCTGGTTAGCTTAACCTGGCGTATAGTCTGGTAAGCTATACTTCATATACGACCTGGTAAGCTTAACATCAGACACAGTCCGGTTAGCTTAACCTCGCGTATAGTCTGGTAAGCTATACTTCAGGTACGGCCTGGTAAGCTTAACATCAGACACAGTCTGGTTAGCTTAACCTCAATGATAGTCTGGTAAGCTTAACATCAGGTACAGTTTGGTTAGATTTACTTCAGGTACAGTCTGGCTATCTTTTTTTAACTAACTTTAAACCCATTGACTTCAATTTGTGTATACATTGTATATATGAGGTTAGTGATGAATGTAAAGCTTCTTTCTGTATAGTGAGGATCGTGCATGATGTTGAATGGTTAATACGCAAGTGAATTGTATCCGTACTATGTGTGAAATGTGTATATTATCTAGTAATTGTACTTTATTGTACAGACAGTTGAAAGACTTTTTGAGTGAAAAAAATCTGATATTGACATGGACATTATTTTACATTCTATTACATTATGATTTCAGATTTTACATAGAATGTTTTATCATACATTCTATTACATTATGATTTCAGGCATACATGAACTACAAAAGAAAAAGTACTGTGGGCTGGAGTATAGGGAATGTCTTACTGGACTTTACTGGGGGGAGTTTAAGTCTGCTACAGATGTTCCTACTGGCCTATAACAGTGGTAAGTGTTTAGTAATTTACTGATGTAGTCTGAGTGTACTACAGATGTTCCTACTAGCCTATAACAGTGGTAAGCGTTTAGTAATTTACTGAGGTAGTCTGTGTATACTACAGATGTGTTCCTACTGGCCATAACGGTGGTAAGTGTTTAGTAATTTACTGATGTAGTCTGAGTGTACTACAGATGTTCCTACTAGCCTATAACAGTGGTAAGTGTTTAGTAATTTACTGAGGTAGTCTGTGTATACTACAGATGTTCCTAATGGCCTATAACAGTGGTAAGTGTTTAGTAATGTACTGAGGTAGTCTGTTTGTACTACAGATGTTCCTACTGGCCTATAACAGTGGTAAGTGTTTAGTTATTTGCTGAGGGAGTCTGTACTACAGATGTTCCATAGAGGGAGTGTTTATTTGTTTACCCCATCATGAAAAAGAAAGGAATATTGTGGTACCCATGTCTGTTCATCATACCATCTGTGTCTCTCACAAAACTGTACTTTCAAGGTCAATGCCAACAACACAGTGTGTCACTTATCACTCGCAGGTCTGTTTTCTCAAGGTCATTGTCACCAAGACAGTAGATCCTATTTCAATGTATGCTCAAGGTCATTGTCACCAAGACAGTAGATCCTATTTCAATGTATGTTCAAGGTCAATGGCACCAAGACAGTAGATCCTATTTCAATGTATGCTCAAGGTCATTGTCACCAAGACAGTAGATCCTATTTCAATGTATGCTCAAGGTCATTGTCACCAAGACAGTAGATCCTATTTCAATGTATGCTCATTGTCAATGTCACAACATGGAGTCAAAGGTCAAATCCCTGCAATGAAGGTATGAGCTCAATTATTTTTATTTGTAGAGCATTATTTGTTGAAATGAAAGAGATATAATTTTTTATGATGAAAGACAAGTCTGTATAATCAAAGGTTAGGTCCCTTTAGTGCCTGTCCAGGATGTTTATGTAACAAAGAGCTGAATTTTAGTTAATGAAATGTCAAAAATGCGTTTCTCACATATTAATGTATACTATTATAAGATTTTTTGACAGTGTTGCATGGCACATGGTTGTACCCTGAAGTCAAGGGCACAAGGAGTCAAAAGTTGAATCACTGCAGTGTGTGTATGACCTATAACCTTTTGCATTTTTAATGTGCTGAAACTTGTGTAGGTTTATGTTTTACGGGTATGTCACATATATCACACAGGTCTCTGTACATACAGTTGTAGTCAAGGTATAGCATTGACCCTCACTTCAACACAACTGCAGGTCGGGGATCAAGAACAGAATACACCTGCTGTTAACAACCCACTGCATGTATCGTAAGAGGCGCCTAATGTGGGAACCCCCTTCAGATTTGGGGATTTGCATTTTTGCATTTCTATTTGGAGACAGAGAAGCAACAAACATATATCTGTTGACCCATTACAATATTTAGGATCTTTATATCTCTCTACTTCTAACCACCTTTTATTTCCTAGCGCCTTGCTTTGAAATACCTCACTTTTGGCTTTAGTATTGAACGTATGCCCAGGTGAGGAAAGCAATGGGTTCTGTCCCCAGGCCGTGACATACCAAAGTCCCAAAAAATGGTTGTTGTTATTCCCTGCTTAAAGTTCAGCATTTAAGGTTATGGCAACAACTGGTTCACCCTGGGTGCCTTTGGCATGGGATTTCAGTGAGGTAGCACTATAAAGTCGGCATCAGAGCTGAGCCATCACAAGGAGGTTAATACACAAACCTACCCTGCCTCCGGCACACATGCACACATTCACATGGAGGCACATCTTTAAATGACCTTAGCTGTTGATAGGACGTTAAACCCTGTATAACCAACCCTTACTTCACAGATAGAACCCCACCTTAGTTTGCACTGAAATCTTCTTGTGTTATTGATGGTTTCTATTCCAAGTCAGCTCACAGCCGATTCCCAATATCTTTTCTAAGTGTAAAGACAGTGGAAGAGAATACTAAATCTATTACCTGAAACTGAGCGAAATAAATAGAATCTCTCACCCCCTTGGGGTTGAGATAGGGGAATCTCAACCCGAGGGAGAAGATTCTTTATTTGCCAAACATGAGGCTATGCCGAGTGTTTGGCAACTTAAGAATCTTTCCCCAAGGGTTGAGATTCCCCTTTCCCCAAGGGTTGAGATTCCCCAACAAGGGGGTGAATGATTCTTTTTCTCTTACTCTGTTCTCCATATGTGTATCATAATAATACACAATGTAATGATAACATTACATGGTAAATTCAGGGTTGACGTGACGTTGATGGATTGTTGACGTGACATCATTGTATTGTTGAAGTGACGTCATACAATTGTTATGAATAGGGGAATCCCCTCCGTCTCAACCCTAGGGTGAGACAAGGAAAATCTCACACCTGTAAAAGAGAGGATGCATCTTCTCCAGGGTAAGAGAAAAGGAAATCTCACACCTGTAAAAGTGAGGATACACCTGTCCAGGGTAAGAGAAAAGGAAATCTCACAACTGTAAAAGTGAGGATACATCTGTCCATGGTAAGAGAAAAGGAAATCTCACACCTGTAAAAGTGAGGATACATCTGTCCAGGGTAAGAGAAAAGGAAATCTCACACCTGTAAAAGTGAGGATACATCTGGCCAGGGTAAGAGACAAGGAAATCTCACACCTGTAAAAGAGAGGATACACCTGTCCATGGTTAAGAGAAAAGGAAATCTCACACCTGTAAAAGTGAGGATACATCTGTCCATGGTTAAGAGAAAAGGAAATCTCACACCTGTAAAAGAGAGGATACACCTGTCCATGGTTAAGAGAAAAGGAACTCTCACACCTGTAAAAGTGAGGATACATCTGTCCAGGGTAAGAGAAAAGAAAAATTTCACACCTGTAAAAGTGAGGATACATCTTTCCAGGATAAGAGAAAAGGAAATCTCACACCTGTAAAAGAGAGGATACATCTGTCCAGGGTAAGAGAAAAGGAAATCTCTCACCTGTAAAAGTGAGGATACATCTGTCCAGGGTAAGAGAAATCTCACACCTGTAAAAGTGAGGATACATCTGTCGAGGGTAAGACAAACGGAAATCTCACACCTGCAAAAGTGAGGATACATCTGTCCAGGGTAAGAGACAGGGAAATCGCACACCTGTAAAAGAGAGGATTCACCTGTCCAGGGTAAGAGAAAAGGAAATCTCACACCAGTAAAAGTGAGGATACATCTGTCCAGGGGAAGAGACAAGGAAATCTCACACCTGTAAAAGTGAGGGTACATCTGTCCAGGGTAAGAGAAAAGGAAATCTCTCACCTGTAAAAGTGAGGATACATCTGTCCAGGGTGAGAGAAAAGGAAATCTCACACCTGTAAAAGTGAGGGTACATCTGTCCAGGGTAAGAGAAAAGGAAATCTCTCACCTGTAAAAGTGAGGATACATCTGTCCAGGGTGAGAGAAAAGGAAATCTCACACCTGTAAAAGTGAGGATACTTCTGTCCAGGGTAAGAGAAAAGGAAATCTCACACCAGTAAAAGTGAGGATACATCTGTCCAGGGTAAGAGAAATCTCACACCTGTAAAAGTGAGGATACATCTGTCCAGGGTAAGAGAAATCTCACACCTGTAAAAGTGAGGATACATCTGTCGAGGGTAAGACAAACGGAAATCTCACACCTGCAAAAGTGAGGATACATCTGTCCAGGGTAAGAGAAATCTCACACCTGTAAAAGTGAGGATACATCTGTCGAGGGTAAGACAAACGGAAATCTCACACCTGCAAAAGTGAGGATACATCTGTCCAGGGTAAGAGAAAAGAAAAATTTCACACCTGTAAAAGTGAGGATACATCTTTCCAGGATAAGAGAAAAGGAAATCTCACACCTGTAAAAGAGAGGATCCACCTGTCCAGGGTAAGAGAAAAGGAAATCTCACACCAGTAAAAGTGAGGATACATCTGTCCAGGGGAAGAGACAAGGAAATCTCACACCTGTAAAAGTGAGGATACATCTGTCCAGGGAAAGAGAAAAGGAAATCTCACACCTGTAAAAATGAGGATACATCTGTCCAGGGTAAGAGAAAAGGAAATATCACACCAGTAAAAGTGAGGATACATCTGTCCAGGGGAAGAGACAAGGAAATCTCACACCTGTAAAAGTGAGGATACATCTGTCCTGGGTAAGAGAAAAGGAAATCTCACACCTGTAAAAGTGAGGATACATCTGTCAAGGGTAAGAGAAATATAATTCTTCACTAATTCACTTGTATGAACCCTGTCTTTACAGATGACTGGGATTCTTTATTTGGCGACCCCACAAAGTTTGGATTAGGAGCCTTCTCCATTCTGTTTGACTTGTTATTTATGACCCAGCATTATTGTCTGTATAGAGGAAATGTGCCCTACGAGCATATCGATCAGACCAGGGAAATAAAAGTGAATTCTGAGAGAAATATCAACCAAACGGACCAACCTATCTACGACACAGACAAAATTTGGTAGAAGATGACATCCTTCGCTAGAAGACTTCATTTCCTATTTTGTACGGCTGAGTAGAATTTCTTTCCTATATAGTTCCTCCCTCCTGTGTTTGTCTTGTTGTGAGGCATACCTCTCTCCTGTTTGTCTGGTTGTGTGGCATTCCTCTCTCCTGTTTGTCTGGTTGTGTGACATTCCGCCCTCCTGTTTGTCTGGTTGTGTGGCATCCTCTCTCCTGTTTGTCTTGTTGTGTGGCATTCCTCTCTCCCGTTTGTCTGGTTGTGTGACATTCCTCTATCCTGTTTGTCTGGTTGTGCGGCGTTCCTCTCTCCTGTTTGTCTTGTTGTGTGGCATTCCTCTCACCTGTTTGTCTGGTTGTGTGCCATTCCTCTCTCCTGTTTGTATGGTTGTGTGGCATTCCTCACTCCTGTTTGTCTGGTTGTGTGGCGTTCCTCTCTCCTGTTTGTCTTGTTGTGTGGCATTCCTCTCACCTGTTTGTCTGGTTGTGTGGCATTCCTTTCTCCTGTTTGTCTGGTTGTGGGGCATTCCTCTCTCCTGTTTGTTTGGTTGTGTGACATTCCTCTCCCCTGTTTGTCTGGTTGTGTGTCATTCCTCTCTCCTGTTTGGCTGGTTGTGTGACATTCCTTTCTCCTGTTTGTCTGGTTGTGAGCCATTCCTCTCTCCTGTTTGTTTGGTTGTGTGACATTCCTCTATCCTGTTTGTCTGGTTGTGTGTCATTCCTCTCTCCTGTTTGTTTGGTTGTGTGACATTCCTCTCCCCTGTTTGTCTGGTTGTGTGACATCCCTCTCTCCTGTTTGTCTGATTGTGTGACATTCCTCTCTCCCGTTTGTCTGGTTGTGTGACATTCCTCTATCCTGTTTGTCTGGTTGTGAGGCATTCCTCCCTCCTGTTTGTCTGGTTGAGAAGCGTTCCTCCCTCCTGTTTGTCTGACATTCCTCCCTCCTGTTTGTGTGGAATTTCCTCTCACCTGCTTGTATGGTTGAGTGGAATTTTCTCCCTCTTTTTTGGGTGGTTGAAGGGAATATAATTTTCTATTTGGAGATTTGAGTTGAATGTCTTCCTTGAAAAATATATGACATAAGTTTCAAATCAGTATATGCTGAAACATTTCTGTAATAAAGCAAATATTTGCCATTTTTCTTCAGCAGTTTTGTGATACACACAATGCATTTGTAAAATACGGAGATTATCAATTTAATCATCAAATTCAGCTTAAAAAAATCAGGGAAGATATATCTTGTATGTTTTGAAAATGTTATCACTTGAAATGCATTGACTGTACCTGTGATGATTTGGTTTCTTTGTTTTATGCTTTCAGACGACTGGGGCTCTCTATTTGGTGACCCTACTAAGTTCGGACTTGGAGCTTTCTCCATTTTGTTTGATATTTTGTTTATGACCCAACATTACATTCTATATCGATACAAGGTTACCTATGAACCCATTCAACAAGGTGAAGAGGATGATGTTGAGGAAAGCCTGAAAAAGATTGTTCTATGATCAAGTGTTCTTTGGAGAGCCGTGTCTTTTTGTTGAAGTGTGCATTATTTATTTGTGTAAATGACTGTCAATTCTTAAATTATTTTTAAGATGTGCAATTCTTGATAAATATCTATTCTCGTCTCTTTGTTGAGATGTGAATGTGTATATTTTACAAGTTGGTGTAAAAAAAATGTTCAAATCTTTGTTAAGATGTGTGTATGTCAGTGGAATTCATGTGAAATAACTGTCTTTTCTCTTTGTACCACTTTGTGTATTTTCTGTTTAAAATTAGACGTTCATATTTCCATTCTGTGCATTTAATTCATATAAGTAAAATAAGTTCTCGTCTTACCTGTTATTTTCTCAAAAAGTTAGATTTAATGACCCAGTGTTTGATATATTTTGGAATCATTCAAAGGTTTATCAGGATTATGAGACTTATCTTCAAAATTTGAATGTTGTAAAATTCCTTAGTTCCGTATCAAATTGTGGTTTACCTGTATATTTCACAAAGTCTAACTGACAAGTAAGTGAATGAATAATTTTTCTGACAATAGAAAATTTGTATCGCTATTCTGATACATGTAGATTTCCATGTTCCAAGATACTTAGCTTTCATTTTTCGCTTGCTGAAAGGTTGGATTTGTTAGTGAACTAGGAATGGATCTAGTGGACGATGTTGATTTCTGGTGATCTTTCAGACCACCATCAACATGTGCAATTCTGCCAGACATTACCTTAGAATGTATATTATATTCATAAAAAGAGAGCTGTTGTTTTGTCTAAACAGAAACGTCAAGGTTTTCCATACAGGGTCATTGTTCTGGGACTCGTTCACCAAGTTACTTACAGAACAAGAATGTTGTGTACATGATCCTGATTAAGAACAATACTCATCACTGTCATGTCCTGTACAGCAATTGTTTACAGGTAATTAACATATAAATGGACATTTTCAAACGTTTTGTTGTATATTATTATATAAATGTTTCTGTGATAATTTTTACCCTAGAAGTCCTGATTAACATATGCTTTTTGTTCACAATTAACTCATTCACCCCTAAAGACACATTTGAACTACTCCAATTCAAAAGTTTGAAAAGTTCATTATGAAATTTCAGGGGTGAATGAGTTGAGTCCTGTTATTATTATCATGTGATTCAGGGATATTTAATCGGACCTTAACCTTATTCATTTATACTGTATTAAACATATTTTGTGCCCAGCATACTTGAGATTAAATTGGGGGTTGGAAGAAGTGCGTCAATGTGTCGTTAGATTAAATGTGAATGAATAATGTAATTATGATTGTTAGTATGTGAAACTGGCTTTTACCCAAAAAATCAGCAGTCTGTCGATGAGGCAATATTGGTGTATTTATTTGAAGCGTTTTAGCTTGATTTGTCATGGTGTTGATAAGATGGATGCATGTTTTCCTTGAATATAGTCACAAGTGGCACTAAAAACATTTTTCTTTTTATTTAATAGTGATGATGCCAAAAGTCATTGTGATCAATATGGTTAACACTGTACTATAATATAAAATGTTCATGAATAAATTCGTTTGTGATTTGAAGCTATTTATATTGTTTCACAGCACAAACTTTTGCGATACCCCATATAAAACAAAGGGTAGTTAATGATATAAACTAAATTTGTCCCCTTTATTTTTGTGGTTCTATAGCAGTCATGAATATATATGCATAACACATTTCATGTTATACAGTATCTTCACTGCTTTTGAACAAAAACCAATAGTGGACGTTTTTTTAACAAGTGTTCATGTACCTATTATTAGCTCACCTGCCTGTCCTTTAAAAGACTTTTTCTCAAGTACAAATGAGGGATCTTAACTAATATTGTATGGAACATTCTTGAGACAAGGGAATAGGTTGGAAGAGGTGACTACACAGGAGTAGAAATATGTAAAGTCCAATTCTATAGCCCAACATAGGATTTGAGGTCTACTACAGGAACCAGGTGAGCTATTCAGGCCCCGGGGGCTTCTGGAATCATCGTATGTGCAATGGTGGCCAGTTAGCAAAACTAGGCTAGTGCACTTTAATTTGACCAAATAGAGTTGAGTTCCCTTTAACATTCTTAGAATCCTTAGAATGTTTTAGGCTGATAAATGTTTTACATATCTAATTTGACTTTGCACTTTTGTTTTATTAAAGACCACTGCTGGTCCAAGCAGATGCAATGTTGTATGTATATGAAGGATATATTTTGCCAACACGTATTGATCACTGGTTGTCACTACAGGCCCCTTGTGGCTTTTGTTGAAATGGTGTTCATTGAACTATCTTGTGATTACAATTGCTCAAGTCTTTTCTTACTGAGTAAACAATCTTATTTATCACTGTATACACAAATATGCATGTCTTTATTTGGCCAAAGATATTAAAGCTGACAATGCTTGTAAGGAAACACCAGTGAGCTAGCCAAAACCTTTACTGCAACTGGACAACCCCAGAACATGCTAATTTCTCAGTAACTGTATTGTTTGTCCCTATAAAGATACCAAAGCCTGTCTGCAGGCAAGCTCTGATGATTCTTAACTTGCATTGTCACCTTATTTTTACCCGTGATCAGCTTGGATATTGTCAAGCCAAACTGATTGATAATTTCACGTAAACAAGAGGCCCAAGGGCTTTAGCGGTCACCTGAGTTATATTATAGGTACTGGTAGCTTTATTTTATTGTTTAGTTGTGATGTGGAAATCAGCATGTAAACTAAGTGAAATACAATACTTGTCATGTCATCAAAGGATAAGAATTTGAAAATATTGGTAAATGTTCCCTTTGGGGCCCCTCACTAGCCCCTGGGGATGGGGCAGGAATCCCAAATTTACAATGTAATACCCTCATTCACCAAAGATGATTCTGACTAAGTTTGAGTAATTTTCTGCTGAAAATGGATAAAATATACCCAAAAGTGTTATTTCCCTATATAAACTATAGTAAACTTTACCCTCTCCCCAAGGGAGAACGGATAGCTTGGGGGTCCTGAAATTTACAATTTAAATAAAGCGCCTGATGATCTTTCTTTCCATGCAGAGAAAATGACTGTAGTACCTCCGAGTCTGGAGAAGAAGATTTTTGAAATATTGGTTAATTTTCCCTTTGGGGCCCCGCCCTGGGGTTGGGGTAGGAATCCCAATTTTACAATTTTGTAACCTCATTTACCAAGGATGATTCTGATCAAGATTGAAAAAAATCCATCTACTGGTTCTTGGGAAGAAGTTGAAAATGTAAAAAGTTTTCGCACGACGGACGGAAAGCGATTAGAATAGGTCACTTGAGCAAAGCTCAGGTGACCTAAAAAACATTAAATAATTTCATAATAGTAAATCTTTACTAAGTTTTGTTTTAATTGATGCCTTATCATTACTTTTTTTCCTGTAGTCAGCTTGAATATTTGTCACATTGATCACTCATTTCGTGGAAATATCCAGTTAATAATTTCAATATAAAATCTTTACTAAGTAAGTTTTGTTTGAAGGTGATGCAGTTCTGTTTTATTACATATATTCATGAACTGAAAAATAAACAGATGCAGCGTATTTTACTCCTTTGTTTTCTGTTTAGTTCATACAGTGAACCCCGTCTAATCGGACACCTAGTGGGGCACAGCATATTCGTCAGACCTGAGATAGAGTAGTTTTCATTAGAAATTGAATTACAGCATTGTTCGATAGGACAGGGTGATGATTTACTCAAGAGTTCAGGTTAGACAGGTTTCACTGTACAAGGTATAACATTTATGGCTAAAGTCAATCACATTCATATCTACAAAATCAATTTCTGTGGCAGCATTCTTTCAGTTTACACCTGAATAGTTGTGGCCATAATGTGCTAGATCTTAAATATGTGTCAACATGCGGTCTTGTTTCCTGTGAATCTATTTTTAGACTATCATTAACAAATAGTGGACTGTTCAAACTGCCTTTTGTCTAAGGTCTGCCCTTCAACAACTTGTTATCACTATTACTCAAGATGCCCTGGACAAATCATCCTCAAATTTCATGAAGGTTTCCCTTGGTCTTCAGCTGTGCATGCCATTTTGAGACTGATCAGAAGAACATGTGGCCATCTTTGATTATTTGACTTCCCAGAACTTTGAGAGAGCTTTCTCAAAATTTCACAAGCTGGATCCCCTTTTCATTAAGTTGCACGTTTAATTTTGGAACACATCACAAGATAAAAATGGCTGACAGATGGTCATCTTCGATTTTGAAAGTTTAATTTGTTATTGCTGAATGTACTTAAGTTTCTATAAAGAATTCTCTTGACTACACACTGTTCATTTTTATATTCCATTTTCAACTTGATTAGAAGATTGCCATTATCTCAAATTTGAACATGAAGACTGTTACTGTTATTTCTTTAATAATTTAGATAAGTACAGGTCTTTTCAAATTTCAGAAGTACTGTACTTTTATTTACATAAATTTTTTGGCCTATATCATTTCATGTTTCAAGATACTTGATCAGAAGAAAAATTTGGCTGACAGAAATAAAATTCTCTTGTACATAGCAGCAGGAGTTTTTGATTAAAATAGTTTATTGTTGACTTAACTATTGTTGCAAGAAAACTATTAGTTCTATGGAGAATAATTCTACAATAGGCCTGCAATGGCAATTTAGTGTAAAATACAATGAGATTAGTGTAACCTACAATGAGATTTAGTGTAACCTACAATGAGATTAGGGTAACCTACAATGAGATTAGGGTAGACTACAAATTTTGTTATGAATCGCTGAGCTTAGGAAACCTAACTACATCATTCTTCACTTTCAACACGACCAATCCCTTTAGAGAAAAGATCAACTTTACATGGAAATAACTAATGAAGATGTTACAATGGTGGGCGACAAGAGGGTTCTGTTGTTGGAAGAGCAGTCGTATGTTTTCGGAGAATAAATTATAAGTAGTTTTCAGACAGTGTACAAGTCAAAGAATTTCAACAGAAACTATCCAACACTAATTCTCTATAGTCAACAACTTTAATTTTCATTGTGTACATATATCGATTCTTTATTTATTGAATAACCTTTGAATTTGTTTAATGGTGTCACAAAAATAAAATTTCATCTATTTATTTTTTCTAAGCTGTAGATCCAACATTTATGTTGATTTTCACATATGAACACATTTAGAAAAATCTCAACGACAACTGGTATGAAAGTAGCAAAGTCATCTAAAGTTACCATATCAATAAATACAAATAAATAAAACGTCAGTATAGGTCGGAAACCTTGGAAAAAACATTAAATTCTAGCTTGACATAAAACACTAAATTTGTACTTGAAACAACAGGTGTTGACTATCATATTTAATAGCATTATACAAAAACTACAATAAACGAACAGAAATCTTAACAGTGGTTTCTGAATATTGTCATGTTTGTGTCACGTCTGACCTGTATCTGTATGGCACTGCCGATCACCCCAAGTCGTAGGTATTGTAAAGTTTACCAGTTCAATAAAATTTCAGGTTTACTCCAAAAGGAGACTATGTACAGGAAAATTATCATTAAACTACTGTTTTCGTAAAAAAAAAAATATGACAAATGTATTTCATCAAAAATCAATGACCTTATGAGGTATGTAGCTGTTCATGTAAATCAGGAAGAAACAAATTCATTATAGAATCATGCATAAGATCATCAATTTGAACTTATTTCTGGTATTAAAAATAAAAAAGTCCGTTTCTGATATACTGGCATCACTAAAACTGCATGAACAGGTTTAACTTGTCATAGATAAAATACTTTTAGTGTCGATGAATATGAAACAAATGTGAAACTGTTACACGTACTATAAAGCTTCACACTAACTCGCGAGTTCAGTCTACCACGAATATTTGTTCAGACTCGATGAACATATGTTGCTTTTCCTTTTAGAAATTTCAATAATCTTTAGTCATTTTAGTGAGTGTCTTTAGAATAACAATTGCAAAAATATCTATTCACTAAAGGTTGATGATTTACGACATATCATCCAAAGTTAATACGCTTTTAACAATCTATACATGCAATTAGTTTCAACAAACTGTTTTAGTATAATAGTAAAAAAGAAGATTACGTTAGTGCACTCGTCTGTAGTTATAAAAAAACCTATCCTAAACAGCTTTGATGCATAGAAACAGTGTGAAACTCTATTATTGGTGTGATTCACTATTAGTGTAACAAGGAAAATGTTTAACCAACAGGTGTTCTTCATCAAAACTAATCTGTCAAATTACGTTCTAACAAGAAATCATATGCTGTTGATTCTATTGATAGCGACAATAAGCAAATGAATGGCAAGCAAATTAAGGATTCTACCATGGACATCGAACAAAACAAAAAAAAAATGAAAAGAAAAGAGTACACGATATTTGTTGACCTGAATAACAAGTAAAAACCCAAGATAAAATCCTATTATTTTGGAAATATAACAAATAATAAAATACACACAGGCCCTAACAGGTGAGTGAGGAGACAAAATGATATATCACGGGAACAAAGACCTAGACGAAACTAGGAAGCAAAAAATTACAGGGAAACAAACACAAGCAAGGAAATCATGTACAAATTATAAAAGTCATTTAAAAACTTTTAAATTAAACATCATTTTTACACTATGTACATAATTTCAAGCCATTTATACAGATTAATTTAGGAGGGAATAGACAATTGCAAATATTTACATGAATATTAATTGATCAAAGATTTTTAAGTGGAGAAAGATGTAACTGTTTGAAACACGTCCAGCAACATTCTAGTGGTAATCTGTGACTGGAAAATGTCATCAATTCTGTTGACACAGCATTGCTTGCCTTTTCTCGTCAAAAAAAAGTTTCCTTTGAACACTCTAGGATCCTTTGATATTAATAACATCCTAAAATAAAATATCACACACGTTAAAAGACTATTCCACTTTTAACCGTTTCACACTCTGTGAATGTGAATCACCAGAACCTAACGAGTTAGAGACTGGCATGACTACAATTGTCTTAGCACCCTGTATGGGAGTTCCCGCTGCCGTTCGCACTGTGACAGTAGAGGGGTTTGTTCCTGGGGCTGCTGTCACTATAATGTTTCCATTGACACCTTGACCAGGCGTGTTCCCTGAATTGAGAACCATGAGTGTAGTTGTGTTGGCACTTGAGGAGGTTTCGAGCGTGGATTTGTTCATAATGGCTGTGGCTGTATTTGCAACACCCATATTACTTGCTGGTGTTTTGATCACAGGCAGTGGCTTTTCAGCTTCAAGGGAACTCAGCATTACAGCACTACTCAGGTCTATAAACTGAAATCAAAACAACAAACATTCTTAATGTATTCATTGAAAAAACCCACCTGGAAATTCAAAATAACACAAAAACCAACAGTACTAATGCTAAGCCTTGGCTGATACAACTCTGTCAAGGAAACGGGCATTGCATGTGAATCATTTAAAAGATTAATACTATCTTAAGGTGGCTCCACACATCGTCATCAGCGTCCATTTTCGTGACGTACTTCCGGAAAAAGTACAGCTCGGACTCAATTATCTTCATCGCAATGTGCCTGTACACCGTGTCGTCATTTCCGTATTGCGTATCGGGCATTTAATATCGTAGTGCAAATATTATAGTAACACCTGGGCCGTTTTCGTTTAAACAGTCAAACCGATTGGACCACTGTTGTTCGTTTATTAAATAAGGTGGGACCTAGTAATCTGATGCTGCTTTCAGGCGAGCCTTGAGAATGCCTTGCAAGGCCTGCATACACATGCGCAGGTCCGCCAGGATTTATACTCGAAATTGTTACATTTATAAACGGTCAAACCGCTTGCTCCGCATAAACAAACAGGCCCCTGGTAAACAATATAGTACAAGTGCGTGCTGATGATATGTCAACACCCGATATCGAGATTTTACCGAGAAATGTATAATCTCACGTACTTTAGGAATAAAGCTTTCCAATTCATAGACATAAACAGACTCACGGGAAGACAGTGACATGAGACCAAACGACCTCAAGAAGGTCATATAGGAAACGCATGGAATGCAGACGTACCAACTTCAGATGTGCATATCGCGTGCTTACACGAGTTCATAAGCTCGAGGTCGTTACGATTTTCGCTGTTATAATCGTGTTTACAAATGTAGTCTTCTTACTCTGTGAAAATAATGTTTTGTAAAATATCAAGATACCTATGAAATGCATGTGTGAGTGCACGTGAGAACGGCATACCATGCGATAGCCTCTGGTCACATATGTACCTGACATGTAATTATAAATATACCGTGAGTTAGC